TCCTGTGCCTGGGTCCGGTCGATGTCAAAATACTCCCGGCGTGAATTGGTTAAGCCTGCACAAGTTGATGAGGCATTTAAAACAAAAAGGCCATGCTTAAAAAAGCCAATGTGTGTACTACGTTTGTGTCCTAATTGTATTTGCTCTATGCCCATACAACGAAGGATCAGGACACGGCGATACGGCAGTTCATTCGTTCCAGCAGCTATCAAATGGTACAATGAGCAACTGGAACGATGAACTGTCGTGTGGCTGACCCTGATCCCACCTTAATGTAATGAAATATGTGTATTATATGTAGTAGTTTTTTTTTTACATGTAATTTCTGGATTTATAAGTTTGTGGTAACTACATTGCATTTTTACATCTTTTTGATTAATGATTGTATGTTTTTATAACCCGTTCTTTGTCAAGGCCATTTTAATTTCCCTCCTGAGGGATAATAAAGTTCAATCTAATCTAATCTAATCTAATACTGCAAAAAAATTACAATAAACATGTTATAATCTTTATGTGAATTTCTCTCAAACTTCGAGTGTGAAGTGAATTCTTATAGACTTTTTTTTAAGTAAGACATTTTATATGATGTTTTCAATTGCAGTAGTGTAGACGTAAAGCTTAACATTAAGATTGTTACATTTTAATTGTGTCAATGAAATCATATTCTTCCTTGAAAAAAATAATGTGTATTGATTTTTTTAGTTTATGATAGAAGTTTTATTACAAATGACATTACAAAAAAGAGAGGAATTTGTTTCATGAGATATTTTTACGCTTTTTATTTGTAAACACACATTCCAGGAAGTTTTCGGGCTACAAAATTGTACACAGGCAGGAATTGTGATTGGTTAAGAAATTGTGCCAACCTTGAATTTTTTCCTCTTCAATTTTTGTCGTCAATGTATGTTTTACAATTTTATAATAAATTACACAAACTGCCATTTAATCTTCAATTATTTTGTATTACTGATACAATTTTCAACATATCGCTCTTCGAAACCTGCTTTTAACTGGTTTTATTGTATCAAAATTGCATTCACTGAAATAATGAAAAATTATTTTAAAAAAAATTCCAAATAGTAAATTTTAGAAGAGTTGTTACCTAAAATTCCTTTAAATAATGACAACAAAGTGAGGAAAGTTTATCCCACTCATCGAGACAGGGATTCCTTTAGTTGTTCATGCATTCTTTTTTTCTTAAGAAGATCTGCTAGAAAACATGCTCCAGTTTATCAAGTATATTTGGCGGAGATAGTTTCTTTTTGTCGAAAATCTGAAATCAAGGTACTAGTTCCATCTTAAGATATAAAATATTCCATGACATTTGTACTAAAGTGGTGCCAGCCATGGAAAGAATGTTGCAACCTGACACCACTTTTTCTCTTCATATATCATCTCAATGAAGGTCAGTCATTGCAAATATGATGATAAGACATGAATCTGGGACTGAGAAACATTTTCAATTTTGTTAGGAAATACGTAGGAAATTTTCTTGACTCTCCATAGACTTTACACACAACCGCTGAAGTGGCGTCAGGTTGCAACATTTTTTCCCCAGCCATTTGACCAGCGCCTTGATCTATCTTGTAAAAGCGCTTTATAAATACCTCATTATTATTATTATTATTATTATTATTATTATCTGAGGTGGCACTGCGCGGTGGCACCATGCTCGCGCAAGTCACGCTCAGGTCGTACGCATGCACTCCGGGCTCCTTCAACCAATAGAACGCTTGCAGATGCGTTCGATAATCGACGCGCGAAGGCGCGCGACGCCATGTTGTGGGACAGGCGTATATCTATCCATGCACATTTTGTCCCATAACATGGCGTCGTGCACCTTCGCGCGTCAACTATCGATCGCGTCTGCAAGCGGTCTATAGTGTTGCCAAAATATGCGCGCACACCTCATCTTAAAGAGGCGTGCGCGGGAGCGTGGCACCACCTCAAAATGGCTTCTAATTTTGTTTCCCAGATTACACTGTATTTTACTCAAAGCTTGCTGTTAAGGTCATCAAAAATGTTGACTCTTTTCATTACCTGGCAAAATTTGTAACAACCATCTGTTTCCGTAGATCCGTTGCAATGCAGCCATATTTGAGGTACGTGCCTTTATTCCAAAGAGTTAGGCATGGCTAACCCTCACGTGGTTTCATTGTTCACCCCAAAGATGGCTGCTGGTTGCCGTGGGTCAATGTGAGAACCGTTTTTGTTAAAGGCCACATCTTTCAAATTAACTTCTTCTTCTTCTGATTTTTATTCTTCTGTGTATAATGTGAATGTACCATCATAAAACCCAGTGAGTTTGTTAGCAGTGTGTTTAGTTTAGTTTTCCATGTCAAATGCGATCTAATAAACGGTAGAGATTATTAAAGTATAACAATTCACAGATTATATCGGAAGCCAATTCAACTGAAGAAGTTCCTTTCGGCTTTGTTAGTCACTTTGTACACATCCTTGACTATGTCAGTAAATACGTTGTACAAGTTAAAGTACTCCCTCGTTAGTTTCTAAAACTTAACATATCGATAAAAGAGGAAATTAGCTGTTTTTGAGTCAAGCAGCAAACTAGTTATATAAATCGATACTTAGATATATTTTGTAGAAAGTAATGAAATATTTGAACGAAAAATAAAAATCTTCCTATGTTTTAATAATGTTTTAATATTATGTGCTTGATACAAAAGCAGCAATTACATTGTTTTAGTTCTGAGGTGAGCAGTTAGCATTTACTTTGTGTTTATGAAGTCAGGGAGCCAGGCAAAGATGGCTGCTTTCCAAACTGTAATTTCTCATTCATTACAATACACATGCAATCTGAAGACACTGGCAGCAATATATCACTCGGACAATTGAAGCAGACATTTTTTTTGTTCACATCACAAAGCATTTACAATTCTCAAGTCGTGCAAATCTTCAGGCCTGTGGTTCACTTGAGTCCTTCTTTCTGATTACTCAAAAAGTTGTTTGGCTACTAGTTACACATTCAACATTAGCTTCAAAATGTACAGTCCCTTTTGGTATTTTTGCATTCATATCAACATTAGTCTGTTGAAAATTTCTTTATAAACTCCGGTGTTTGTAGAAACACCAGTTTCATCTTTTTCAACGAACATATCTCAAATTTGCACTTGCTCATTGCAGTGGCTTATGATGTGCGTGTTTTAGTTTTTAAACCCCCAGTTTACACGTCATTTACTGTTAACAGATTCTTCAGAACCAACTGAGAAAAAAAACAGCCATCCATATAAACTACTTCGGTCATAAATACCTGTAATTATTTGCACAGAATCTGTCAAAACATCGACAAAGTTAGTGCATCCTCATTTTGTGCATATCTTTGTAGTACCTTTCATATTCAGATAATCAATTCTATAAACGTGTTAGTATTGCATATTAACATTTTAAGCATTTAAAAAAAAAGGGTTATAGTAGTTATTACACATATGCTCAACTTAATCTCAAATATTCATGAAACTTCAGGGAGCTTTTTTTTGTTGTTGCAGTGTTTCAACTTCATGAGGCTTGATGTACGTTTACTATATTGGGAATGGAGACCAGCTCTTATCATACCAAAAAAAGTAGATGTAATTACAATAAACTAATAAAATTGTTGAAAAATAAATACTGCACAAACCTTCAGACACAATTGTCGTGTGTTCCACTCCCCGAAGCCTGCCCTCAATGTTCCAGACATTAACTATAACGGGCCCTTTTTTCAGTAAGATTGAACGATAGCTGTTGTACTAGTAACTTTTCAGTGAGTGAGTTTTTATGTAATAAGCCGGCAACCTTCACAATTACAACAGAAGAAGGGTCTTTTTTTTTTTCTTCTTTTTGCAAAGGGCAGCTTCGCTTTCATTCTGATATGACAAAACATATTGAGGAGTCACTTACTTTTAACAAAGTAAATATAAGCATAATCATTGCCAAACAATACTTTTTTTGCCCAATTTATCTCAGTAAAAAAATTCCAGCTCTCAACAAAAATATAAAAAACCTTCGTACAGGGCGAGTAAAAAAAGAAGTCCCTTTGGACACGTTCTTGTCTCCCACAAAAACGGTAAAGATTACCACATTTTTCTTTTTGGCCAACATTCGGTCTGGGTACTGACCACAGTCTGTAAAAAATTCACTGATATTCAACTATACATGAAAAAGATACAAGCCTTTTTTGGGGGACTAACCAAAATTACTACCAACACAATTTCCACAATGGGCCTCTAGACAATGAAGGAAATAAATGGAATGACAAAACAGGACATCAATTAAATGGAATTACATTTATTGAACTTGAAACTGAATTTATAGATAAGGTTGACATTGTCACTGTCCTGTTCAGGTTCTTGCTTGATTCATTTTGTTCATTTTGTTCACAGCGTTTCTGCACGCTGTCCGAGCATTAGGCTGCCGTACCTTCGGAAGATGTTCTCCCGCAAATTGACCTATCGTGTCTTGTACCCTACCTGTTTCATAAAACCTTCTGACAATCAAGGCCCTTTGGACAGCAGTAAGCTGTGGCCTTGCCTGGCTACTTTGAAATGTTATTTTATTTATTTATTTACTTATGTTGTGTCTTGCAGTTTGCTGGCCATTAAATAACGTTAAATATCCCCTTCAAAATATTAGGACACATTGTGTTGGTAGGGTTTTGGGGTAGTCACAAAGAAAAGCCTGTATCCTTTTCATGCACGGCTGAAAATCGGTGAAACTTTTACTGACTATGGTCAATACCCAGACCGAATGTTGGCCAAAGCAAACAATTTGTCAATTTTTCCCGTTTTTGTGGGAGACAAATAGAAACCAAAGGGACATTTTTTTACTCCCCCTGTAAAACTCTCATTGCAGACAATATTAGTCATCTTTCATTTATACACAGTCTATACAGAACTTCTTTTTACAACTCCTCTAGCAGAAAAAAAGTATTCCTTTAAATATATACTTCTCAGTTACAAAATAAAAGTATTTTTAGGCAAATTTCGAAAATGAGTTTCGAAAAGTGCAACTACTATTATTCACAAAATAACTTATAGCTTTATTCACGTACAGAAATATGAGTGATATGTACATGTACACAAACCTCAAATTATTCTATTAGCTTTGTTAGCTCACTTTTGTGGACAGAAATATACACAACGTGTAAATGTTCTACAAAGGTTGCCTTTTTAAACAAAAGGCGGATGACTAAAATATTAGATCTGAAGCACTGTAAAAGGTCATCCCAAGATCCGATCAGAAACATATCTGTGCCAAAACTTGTATATCAATTCAACACAACTTTCAAGACCACACACTGCACATTACGCTGTTATCTTTTTCAGACACTTGGATTTCTTGGACATTGAGACTAACACAAACCACACAGAACGTCACAGGTATCACACACAAAATCACAGACCCAGCACCTGAGAGTTTCACACAGAGTATTACGACGTGCCATAAAAGGGGTGCTTCCCGGGGGTGGGGCTTAGCTTAGACAAGGGGTGGGTCTTGCCATGCTGCTGCTTTTTCCTGCTGGCTTGGGGCGACTCACAATCCTTAGTTGCTGGGGCCTTTTCAATGCTGGTTGGTTTCGCAGCGCTGTCGCTCGTCTTTCCCGAAGCACTGCTGCCAGTGCCTGTCGCAGTCGATGTCCCTGGTTCTTCAGACGTTGAGGCACTGCTGAGGCTGCGTATCTCCACCGATGACGGTTCCTCCAGGTAAAACTGCAGCGGCACCGTGTCCTTTTGTGGCGTGACCAGTCGGGCGTGGGCACTCCTACGCCTCTCGTCCACCGTCAGATCCCCTTTAGCCAGCTGAGACTGGTTCTCTGGAGAGGATTCCAGGGAGCGCGTGCCGGAGTCCGAGCGCAGGCGGTTGCCGCGGATGCTGACTGGACGGGTGAAATCACTGCGACGCATGACCACGGGGGAGCTTCTCTCGTTGGACAAGCGTGCAATGGAGTTGGTGCGTCTTAGGTTGAGATCAAGTTTGGCAATTCGCTCTCCGATACTCTCCACATTTAATTTCTCCTTCTCACCTGCATTTTCTGTAAAAAAAAAATTAAAAAGGTAAAAAAATGAAAGTACATTCGTGGAAAGTTATCAGTGCGTTTAGAAGCATGTAGGTCAATAAAATGTAATGAAGACTACCTGGTGAATCATCTATGTCGCATGTAGTCAGGCTTTCTGTTGTTGCTTGTGAATCTAAAGTCATAAGGACTTGGAGGAAAATTCACAATTACATCAAAGGTCCAAATTGCCAGATTAGGTCAATGCGGTCTGTATTTTGTTTTGAGATCTTTGGAGAAGACCAATTACTTTCACGTCCCATTTTACTTGATTATGATGATGCGAAGGTAGATACGGTGTTTGGCCAAAATTAATAGGCCTAGTGGTTCAACAGTTTGTTTCATTCCATCTGCAACGAGATAATCAAACATGTCAGATAAGCCTGACTGCATGTACACAATGACATAAAGTGAATGCTCTACTCACTACCACGGTCTACACCCTCATCTACTTGGGCTAGCCCCGGGGAGGTTTCCTCCTCTTCTGACGAACCTGAGTCTGACGACACAGGAGGAGCCTTCTCTGCCACCGACTCTCTCAGCGAGATGCTCTCCCCGGAACTCATTTTGGATTCAGTTGTGTCCTCAATTGTGATCGGGCTAGGGGGGTTTGTGGACTGGTCTGGGGGAAACGAACAACATGCAACCGATCAAATGACGTAAAATTCTCAAATGTGGCCGACGATAAAACTGAGGGTTGGCTAACAGCTTAACTCCAATCATGTTTTCCTCACGTTCAGTTGTACTTTTCTGGTGAAAAGGGTGTGGGGAAAGTGGTTAATAATGGTCAAAATCTTCTCATCAGGGCCTTAACCCTTTAGTCACTGCATCGCCCCAAACCGCCCTGCCTTTTAATTCCTGTAGCGTTTGAAACTGCCCGAGCACCTGTGGTTTTACAGGTGAATGGTGCTAAAGAGTTAATTTCAAATTGTCAAGTGCCCTTCTGTTTTACACTAGTTTATCTGCAAAGCTTTAGCTTTATTTTGGAAGTGGTGTGGGAGATAGGATTAACATTGATCAAAACCTCAACAGGCCTTAATTTTTGCTTCAAAAGTGCCCTCATTTTACTTCACTAATTTTTAAGGTTCAGGCATAAAATGGACCACAACCTTTCAAAAGCTTCAGGGAAATTGGTTTGAATTCTGGATATCTACCTGTGCCCTCTGTGGACGATGACCATCTCTCAAACTGCTGGGTGTGTTTGCGGACATCCCCAACCTTCCAGGATGAGATGCCCTCCTGGGCGTAGGCGGAGTTAATCTTCATTTCCTCTTGAGTCTCCTCTTCCATCTTTGTCTCTGTCTCCAACTCCTCAGCTGTGTCTTTTGTTGGTTGCTCCTTCTGATCCACCCTGGCATGCTTGTTCTGGCTTCCAACTTCTTCAAACTTCCTTTTCCCATTTGTGGTGCTGTCCCAAATGATGACGACCATCTCTTCCTGTGCCCCGTCAGTCACTTCCAGTGTAGTCTCTTCCACTTCTTTCTTACTCGCTACTTCTTTCTTTGGTTCTGACTCATCTTGTTGACCATGAGAGGAGAGCTGCTCAAAATCTATGGTCTGCCGTTTCACCGTTCCTGGCTCCAGCAGAATATCCTCCCCGAAGTACGTTTTTATGAAGGCTTCCTTGGAAGGGCTTCCGCTCGTGGGTTCCTAAGATGCCATACATTCTTGTGACGTGGTGTCCTTGACTGACTTGTCCTCCTGGGAAGCAGGGCTCTGGGAGATTGCTCCAGTTGTCTCAACAACCAGAGACCACCTGGAAGTAACTGAGGAAGACTTGGAGGGTTGCAGCAGCTGTTTAGTCGGAGAATCGGACGGTGGGCTCCCACTCTCAATGCTCTGGCTTTTTCTCTTCTCTGCCAATGACAGGAGCTCCTCATCATCTTCGCTATCGTTAACGGGACTCTTCTGAGATAGAAGTTGCTCAGTAATCTTTTTCACATGTCCCTTTTCAAGGGCTTGCAGCGTTGGGCTTGCGGTGGTGGTCGATTCTTGAAGCAGGCTGACAGCTGGGGGCTGGGGGGATGAAATGTTACAGGCATCTATCTCTGGCTTTTCACAATCCTGAGATTCGGCAAGTTTCGGCTGATGAGTAGTATCAGGGTCATCAATCTCACAGGTAGTAATATCACTGGTGGGTAGTGTGGTGGTGTCTGGGGAAACCTTTCCTGATCTGGTCAACGGAGGGCTACCTTTCTCGGCAGCTTTGGCTTTGAGTCTCTCCTCGATGTCCTGTTTCTGTTTCTGCACAGTTCCAGAGTTGACAGGAATCTCCGGCTCCAAAAACACAACATCCACAGTACTGACGATTTCCTCTTCGCTTTTCACCTCGACCTTCTCATCATCGGGGACCAGGTAATTGTTTTCAAAGGACGTAACTCTTAGCTTGACCGTTCCTTCAACTGGTGGGATATCGTCGGTATGTGAGGAGCTTAAGCCAGTAGCACTGTTGTTGTTTATATTCAGTCCTTCTTCCAGGCTGATATCGGCAACTTCACTTGGAGGTGATACCTCCATCTCTTCAGCTTGTTCAGGTTGGCTCGGGGAGCTGGTCATTTCAGGTATTCCCTCTTTGCAGCCACTTGGGGATTCCCCAACTGCAAAAACATCCTCTGTCACAACTTGTCCAAGCATTAGAGATTCCAGTCGAGTATCTTCTGGTTGAGTGTCCATCTGTACATCTTCAAGCACAGGTGCTGCGGGCAGCTCATATTCAGTACGGCCAATAAGGAGCGGCTCTATGGGCACGCTCAGAGTGGGACTCGTTGGGGTGAGCATTTCTGGTACAATGATCTGAATGTCCTGACAGTCGTCATCTAGCACCATGAAATCAATGTCGGCAGGACTGGTGCTCAGGCGGCCGGCCTTCTCGTGGACCGATTTGCCTTGAGTGTTGCTTGGGAAGTGCGCTTCTGCCACCGAATCCTTCGGGGACCAAGATCGGCGTCTGTTGTGGCCCAACTGCGGTGCAAGACCCAGCGAGAGTGCCGCAGTCTGCACGGTACTCCCTTGGTGAGTTGTTTCCAATGTCTTAGAGGCTGCATCGGGTTAGTCTTCGGTGCTTGAGGTGGACTCGATGGTTTCTTGGCTGCATTCTGCAGAGCTGGCTAGGGAGCTCTCCGACTTGCTTCTCCACAGCTTGTTGCGTCTCTGTCGACTACAGGGAAAAAGGCCAAGCACAATAAAACAACAATGATAACTAACAAAGGTTACTGCAATACGCCAAGAAAAGTGCTCTGCAAGGGACACAATGAAAGCTGGATTCAGAGTTGTAATCCGGTCATCAGAGGACACATTGCAAGTCCAAATGATCAGCCATACAAATGAACGATGACTGTCACCTGACTTGTAATTACCTTGATACAAATATGGTGGGATTCCAAATAGGGGTTACTGTTCTTAAGTCCTCAAGCACAATGACATAGTAGAACAACACTCCTTCCCAAGCAGTCACACAATTTGTCACGTTTTTTCCATACTGGCGAACAGGTTGCAACGCGCCTTTTCCATACCGGCAAACATGTATACCATTTTGTATACATGTTCGCCGGTATAAAAAAAAAGGCGCAGTGCAACCTGTTCGCCAGTATGGAAAAAACGCGACGAATTGTGACATCCAAACTTACATTATGGAAACAGAACACTTTCTCCGAAACTGATCATTTGGGGAATGTGGCTATTACCTGGCATCCAGCATTCCTTCGTAGACCTGAAGCTGCTGCAGGAAGCCCGTGTTTGGATTCACACACTTGCGCTTTCTGGCCACGAAGCTCCTGGCTTTCTCCAAGGGCCAGTTGTACTCCTTCATTGCATAGGCAATCACCTGAAATGTAGCCGGTAGAAGTAACGAGATCGCTGAAACTGGTTACTGGATGATATGACCATGGGACCCATTGCTTGGATCTTTCGGAGCATAAAGTTTTGCTCTTCGCAGAAATGTTTTGCTATTCAAAAGGAGGCTACCAGCTAAGATGGCATGTGATGTCATTTGCTTCTGCCTGGTTCTCGGCTCATTTTGCTTCGTACGTGAATTTGTTAAGCGCTAAATTCTGGTATCGACTCCGTGAAACTTGGCCTATGGGCTGATTTCAAGACACTACTTAGTGGTTGGTGGTAAGGTCGTGCAATACATAGCACTTGACATTTACAAAGTATATGTAACGATTGAACAAACAACCAATAGGCAATTGCGTAAAACCCAACGTACATCCGGCCACATAATGTACATGTACAAGGTCGTTAAGGAGGTGGTACCATAGTTTGGTCTGTAATTGTTTTCTATTCATTAGAAGTCACATTATAAAGTGATGTATCACATTCACTTTTCCAACAGCAGCTCATTAAGTTTTCTGAAATGTACGTCCGAATTTAGGGACTTGCCTCGATGAAAGTTTACTCAGACTAAATTCTTGTCTTGGAATTTTTGGCACATCTTCCCAGAAAAATCTAATCGTATCAAACACACACACACACACTGTCAAATAGTGATAATTTAGGGAAACTTTTTTCCCAGCAATGTGGGTATTTGACTGGGTTTTTTATGAGAGACAACAGACTAGTCTGGTTCCCAGACCTGACAATTATTCCCGACGCTCACGTCTTAAATTGTAGGTCAGGCAGCCTCCGTGGCTAAAAATAAACATGACGACATTAATGGCCCTTTTTCAAAGCGCGGCTTCGTTTCCGATTTCGCTTTATCACTTGTAGCTTTTAATGTTCTGATCAAATCTTTAAATTAATCACCTGCTTCGTAATATCATACAGTTATGATAATACAGTTTGATGTTTTTGTAAGATAACATTGAGTAATGTTGATCCGAAATCTTCAAAATTAGGGAACCAAATAGCACTGTTAGCAGGCGGAGCCGAATGAAGACCGAGTTTTGGAAAATCTCGGTAACGGTCGTCAAATTCAAAATTGTACATGACGAAGCAAAAAGTTCGCCCGTACGATCCGAGTATATTTGATGCACAAAATCGTCGTTGAATTTCAAGTTTTCTAAATGAAAACAATGAATATTAATTATCAACTCATTTAAAATAAAATTAATAAGCAATTAGCAGTTAATTAAACCTATATTATATACTCGGAAATACTCGGGCGCTATCCGATTGTCGACGAAACGACTTCGGCAAACTTCGGAAATTTTCGGAAAAAGGAGGAATTCCTCCCGTTTTTGTCACGTGACGTAAACTGTAATACATTGTATTACCGGAGGCTACCTGACCTAAGATTCATCAGGAATAGTCGGAATCTTTTGGTCAGGGAACCAGACTAACGACAGACTTACGGTGGCAGCAGAGCGACTGATTCCCATCTTGCAATGGACCAGAGCCTTGGAACCTTTCTCTCTGTTAGGGAGAGGAAAGGAAAATACAATACTAAGGGAAAAAACTGTAAAGTATGGGCCTCAATTGTTTCCATTTCATTTACTAGGAACCTTCCTCATCCTTGCAAATCCCAACACCATATGGTAAACTGTGCCATAAACAGTTGGACTCTGTTTATTTGTGGTATGCCTAATCCCACGTAAAGCACAGGCAGTTTACTAGTGCAGTACTCATCCTAACAGATCCCAACAAACCCTGGTGTTGGAGTTTGGCTGGTTGGGGATTGTTAGGGTTAATAGACTAATTTTTATCCAGAAATTAATAAGTCAGAAATTTTCAGCCAATACTAGTTTTAGTTTTACATTTTGTTTTTACAATATCCTTCTGTCACAGCCATAATACTTTTGGTTTTTCCCATAATACTTTTGGTGTTTTTAAACCAGTCATGTAAACCCATAAATCATATTGCTTCTAGTTGCCATAGTTATTGCACTCACTTTGCCTTTGAGAGGAATTTGTAGGTTTCGTCCCAGTACTTCAACAGCTCAGAGCTCTCACTGTCGTACAGTCGCACGTTGTGATAGATGAAACGATTCGGGTAGAAATTGTCAATCTCCATAGTTACATTCAGAACATAGCCAACACTACAGAAATGGGACCCAGGTAAAACAAAATTCAGATACAATGTCCATTTTCGGTCAATTGGTTTGTCTGTGCACAAATAACTTCACTTTGTTAAGTGACGCGAGGGAATTTCTGCAGTCAACTTTGAGGCAACCAAATGCACCACAAGTTAACGGAATCTAGTGTGTATATTCCTAGCAGCATTTGGAGGTTCTTAAGAACACTGCGGGGAATCAAATTTTGCCTGTAATTTTCTTCTTGAAACAAGTGGCTTGTAAAATGCCTTGTGTGACACAGCTCTAAAACATTCCCATAGCCCACATAACTTCAAATTGTGTTACATTATACATGTAAATGGACGACAACTGAATCGTTTGGGGGGGGGCTGAAATGGTTACTGCTCACTTAAGCAACAGTTAAGGACATGACAATTTCTGTGCTACTGAAAATATTTCAAGGCATTATATGTGGGAATGAGAGGTATGATTCTTACCCATTCGATTCTAGTTCCTCTAAGTGAGATGCATTCCACTCAGACCCCTGTGCAATGAAGAAAGGTATTAATTGAAGTAGTGCAAAACAAAAATCTTTTTCAGCATATTCAGTGTTAAGTGAATCCTGATCGAAATATGATAAGCCAGAGTCCCCCAAAATCCTGGGTTTAATTAATAAGCTGTATGCTGCACCAACACAGGACTGGAATTGGCAACAAATGTCTTTTAGAAATATTAAATTGAATAATCGGATTGACTGTTAATTTTTCTTTTTAAGGTCCATATGGACTCCGTTCACATGTACCCCCTCAATGCTTACTAAGCAAGTGTTCACCAGGGGCTCATATGAATACACTGCAGGTTTACGTACATTCAGATGAAAAATATTGTGCGTACTTTGCATCAGATTTGCGCATGCAACGTTACCCCCATACAGAGCTCTTACGGTTGAGTCCTCAGTGCCACCTACCACTCATTAACCATCCTGCTGTCTGAACAGTCACAGACAGTCAAAAATTCAATACTCTTCCCCTGCCATGCCTTTTTTACACAGGCAAGTCACCAACTGTCAGATCATATTTCAAGCACGCACTGTGACTGTCAAACTCAGTCAACAGACAAAAGCAGGTGACTGGTAGGCACAGCTGGCTTACCAATCTCCTACAGTCAAAGCATAGCTGTATCAAGTTACTTAAACAGTCACTGCTAAATAGTTCTGCTTTATGTAGGCAAGGAGTACTCAACTGTTAAAAACAGTCCCTCGATTGATTTTGACAGAAGGACGACTTTGCACAGAATGTATGTTTGCATGGGAGGGTAAACTACGGCGAGTGGAATCCCTGGGCCAGCTTTGAGTTCAACGAAACACGTTTTTTCCTCACCAAGTAGATATGATCAAAGATGAGTGAAGCGGAATCCATCTGCCTCATGTAGGTGATCAACTGCTCGTCCAGGTAGTGTCTGTATTCCTTCAAGCTCTTCCCTAGATCATTCTCAATCCTCACTCGCACCTTGGTTCAGACAGGGGGTGTAAAACAAAAGATTTGCTTGACTGATTGCAAGAATTGTTGTGACAAAACCGCAGTGTCTTCTGGCTTCAATTTCCGTTCATTAGAAATCACACAAATATTATGCAAATTATACTGTCCATGAAACAATAACCTTTTTTTGTTTTCGGTTAAACAGCAGCTACATTCTCTTTTGTTTGCTTTGTTCGTTTGTTTGTTTGTTCTTTTGTTTTTACCGTAGCCTAAGCCACCTACCTCCCTGCTTGTGATAGAGTCCAAGTTTGCCGATGCCATGATGTCTTTGATCTTCAAGAAGATGAGCTGCTCTGTCAGCTCACGGTCACTGGGATAGTAATGGCCTCTGTGACAAAAGACATACAGTCGGTTTATTTCTCTAGCTGTCCTGACCTGAACTTGAAATCGGGTCAAAACACTCCACAATGAAAAGTCCAATGTCTACAGGATTATCTCCCAAGGACTGCAAACTTGATATGACATGGCCACTTTGTTCAACCTCAACACACAGGGACTAGGGCAGTTTCCCAAATACTTGTGATCCATCCTCAACTAAGCTTTGTTCTATCCTCAACTAAGTTCCATCCTCAACTAAGGGGAGTCAGGTTGGCGTAGCGGTACTTTCCTTGCCTTCCACCACTGTGGCACGGGTTCGAATCCCGCCTGGGCCAACATGTGGATTGGGTTTTCAGTCCCTGCCTGATTCCATGGGTGTTTCCTCAGAATATTACTCTGGGCTTTTGCTCCCACCTCTAAGACTGTAAATGCTTCTCATTGTCTTTTTCTACTGGTTTTTTTTCAGGCTTGCGAGCTAGGGTGCCTAGGGCTTTTTTGAGGAATCCTTGGTTTCATTATCAGAAAGAAATAAAATAAGTAAATAAGCTCTTGGAAGTACAGTTGCAGTACTCATGTGCCCAAACCCTTTAATGTGTGATTTACATATGACAGTGTGTAACACTGTTATGAAAAACATTCAATGAGATTTCAGTTTTCGAAGGAGTGGAACAAAAAGGTAGGAAAAAGTAGGAACAAGTGTCAATTTCAAGCAAAAGTTGGAAAAGTAGGAGCAAGGTAGACAAAGTAGGAAAATAAGACTACTTCAAAGCCTGTTCAAGGAAAGGTGAGCGCACATTTTCTAACCCTACAGGTTGAAGGAGCATTTAGTCAATGTTCATGACCTGTGCGAAAGCACGGTTCCACCTCAGTGATGGCTCCTACATAATATTGCCAAATAAGTCTATAATATTACACTCATGGAGGAACCAATAGTATGCAACTAATGAATGTCGATGAGTGCAATGGTAAGAATAATTTTGTGGGGTGACAGATGGTATGTCGCCTCAAGGAATGGAACATTCCATCTGTCACCTCATGAAATCATTCTAACCATTGCACGAATGTGAAACATTTATTATTTGTTTTATACAACACCTGAATAAATCCTCACCAAAAGTGTGACCATGCAATGGCACTTCCATTTAACATGGAAAGGAACTTCTATTTTTTTTGCCGTGCGGCCGCGCCACTAGTCTGAGTATCACCTGTTATACACGGAGCCAAATCCTGTATATCGTCTGATATCTCCTGACATGCAAATGTATGCAAGCTGCGCGCCAGCCAATCGGAGTCGACTTCACTAAATCGTGACGTCATTTCATTCCCTCATCAGGACTAAATGGTTTGATTGGTCAATTCGAATGCAGGGCTTTGTAATACAACAAAAACCGGCCCCATATCGCATAACATGATACAGAGCGCGTGACACGTTTTTTTTTTAAATCCATTGTCTATGTGATGCACAACGGGTGAATGACCGAAGACTCAATATAGAAAGCGTCCGCTGATTGGTCAAAATCTAGGAGGTCAAGAGGCGGGGTCTTGCCTAATTAATCAGCAAATCTGTTCACGCGAAATAGAATTCGCCGTGGTCTATACACAGACTACCGCGCCACGTGTTGAGACGAATAATTCAATGACACGTGATCAACGACCCACCAATCAGATGACGGGATTTACTCAGGCATTGTATAATACAAACTGAAACTCACTCTTCCGAGTAGGTGGGAGTGAAGGCGTGGGGCTTGGTGACCTCCAGCTCCGGCATGAGTTGCCACTCTTTGATCCGTGAGGGACTGGAGTTGATGCGGGACTCATAGCAGCCAATCCAGGTCAGATTCAGACCGCCAGGGAAATAGTTGTAGGTCTGGGCTGTGGATATGGCTGAGTGGATGGCTTGCATTGCCGACCTGTGTCATAACCCAGAAGAAGAAAAGAGTTGGATTTTGTTGGTGCTCGCTACTTTTTTTAACCTCAAATTCAATTTTAACCTCAAGAATACATTCCTTCTAATCTCTTGAAGTAAATGGAAAATTTGCTGAAAAGACTACTGTTGATCAAGTGTATGATAGCAATGTTTCTAAACTTCTAGCCCGATTACAGGCATATAGAATCATTTGCGTTTGTCATAATTTCTTGAAATGGACGGATTTAAGAGCCATTAATTTACAGCAGACTTTGTTTCAGTCTCAGATGTTCAATGTTTGTGTCCATTCTAGAAAATCACAAAAACATTATGTTCATTGTCAACCATCAAGAGTGCCTGAGTGCCGGCTCTGTCATGGGAAAGTAGTACATACCGGTTCATATACCTAGCGTACCCGAGCATACACATTAGGTCAACAGCTGGCTCGGGGCAATATTACAATATTTGAGCAAACTGTTTGTTCTCAGCGATGGTTAGGTCCTAACCATCGTTAGTACCAGTAGCGCACCCAAGGGGGGGGGCCCTCAGGGGGCTTGAGCCCCCCCCCCCCCCCCCCGCAAGAGGTTGTCAATTTTTTTTTTTTTTTTTTTGGTGAATTTTTTTTTTTTTTAGTCCCACGATTTCACCTTGGTGATACATGTATACATGTACGTGTATGTGTCCTATTTTCAAGTAATATAATAGGAATGTAGGTGGCACCACCATCAAAATAGTCCGCCCCCGAAAAAAAAACCCAATTTTTTCCCGCCGCCAGAAATTTTGGGCATCATTTTTTTGAAAAAAATTAAACCTCAAAAAAATTTGAAAAAAAAAATTGTGAGCCCCCCCTTCAAAAAAAAACCTGATATATAATGGCAATTTTCTTGAGAATGACAGTAAACCAGGCTCAACGATTTCACGGGATGTTTCAGACTATTAATTTCTTACAATCAAGTGGGATATTTCTTAATATTTTTGGCAGTTTCGTTTTTTGAGTGTTTGCAAATGATCCTATATGCCTTTAGTGACACTTTGTACTTTGGACAATGGACTAGTGCATGGTTTGGTTAGACAATGCCTAGCATTTTCTGAGAGACTAATAAAATACTAAAACACAAAAATCATCAACCAGCATTTTTGCTGTGCAGTTTATATACCAAGTATAAACATCATGAATGTAATGATTGGCGGACACTTACCACAGAGCTTGAACGGAGACTGGTTTGAATGTGTTGGTGCGATTCTTGGAACAAAGGTTGAAGCCACTGTAATGAGACCAACACAGATTCATTCACAACCTTGAGCCCAAACAGTACAATTATATACCATAAACCATAACGGCCAGGGAAAAAACTGTTTTCATGTTAAAATCACACCTTTTTTTTGGCATTTTGTCCTATTCTCTTCTTTCCCAATTGTTATTCACTAAAATTATAAGTCGCCAAAATAAAGTATATTATAAATGTATCTACATGGACGACACTCGAAATGGTAGCGGCTTAAATGCACTTCTGCAAATTTAAACCCTCCCTCTCTCAGTGACAACATGGGGAGAGTTATCCTATCCGTCAAAATCTATCAGGTGACAGGTTTTAACAGTTTTGTAAACTGGGATCATTATTGGTACAATTGACAGGCTGTGGTACAGTGCAGTATGTATGTAGCTGTGTTAACTGAGGGTACCATGCCTTGACTGACATTGATAGATACGGTGGGTCATCTCTGGTGAGTGCCTGTCAATGATGGAATTAATTTAGAAACTCAGCACAAATGCAAATAAAAAGGTTCACTCATGCATAGCCTAGCAAAACAAAGGTGTTGCCCTCTACAAGGGCGGATCCAGAACACAATTTTGGGGGGGCCCAAAAAATTTTGGTCCCCCAAAAAAGTGGGTCAAAAAAATTACGGTGTGGGGTTCGGGGCCCGCTTAAGGGCCCCGAAAAATTGTTGGATTCTAGATGCTCTGTGGTGCGATCTGAGGCAATTTCTGACCACTTTAACCAATGTTTTTTTGAGGAAAAGATGGTGGTGTACTCATTGCCTGCCTTTATTGCGATGTCACATAAAAAAAAAAAAAAAATTGGTTTCGTTTTTGGGGGGGGGGGGCCATGGCCCCCTTTGCCCCCCCCCCCGATCCGCCCTTGGCCCTCTAAGATGGCTGCTACGCAAGTTGTAGCAGTATTCAAGGTCACCCTATCTATCAAATCCTTCAGCAGGTTTTGACAGTTATGTGGTTTAATCCATGGGAATCGGACAGGTGGTGACCAGCCTGTACAAAGCCATATATGGGAGAGGAAGTGGATAGATTTTGTCGACGGTTAGTGGCAGTTTTATCAGTAGGAGGGTTAAAAAGGGTTAGAAACAGTCTCGACTCCATGGGCGCGTGGGCGTTCCTTACACTAACCCCTGGCCGTAATGATGACGTAAATGACGCTGATTGGCTATTCACAGCGTACTGCGCGCGCATTTCGAAGATTGCACGCCGGGCTCGCCCATAATGCGCTCGCCCATAATGCGCTTTGCACGTAACGTCACGTACGAAAAAAAAATTATTATTCAAAAGTCGCGATGCCTGTACGATATGGATTATTGCAGCCTCGTTTTTCACTGAAAAACCCTGTACCGGTATCTGCGGTTGTAAAGGCACGAAAGGTACGTACATTTCATACAAATCTTTGCTAAATAACGCAACGTCCAAACGTTATGTTTGAAAGGATTGATTCTTCAAAATCACAACTTTTAACATTTTAAAGTTGGCGTCGGCACATAAAACGGATAAACTGCAGCCTAATTATAATGTGTCATATTTTGACACATTTAAATTACACAATTCCAGGGGTCAAGATCGCGCAAGGCATGATGGGAAACAACATGGCGCAGCGAGATCGTACCCATGGGGAACGAGGTTGGGTTAGAAAAGACCAGCAAAATGTATATTTATGTGTATTTCTCAGCAGAGAGGTTGAAGCCACTGCAATGAGATCAACACAGATTCGTTCACAACCTTGATCTCACACTGTACAATAAGCCCTCTGTACTGATGACGTCACACTTTGTTTACACGTGTGCTTTTCTATGGGAGCCTGGTGGGGGCGACGATTTCGTAGCAAAAAGTGTACTGTCATCAGTACAGAGGCTTATTATGTATCATCATACTGTACATGTATAATCCATAATGGCCAGGGAAAATGACTGTTTTTATTCTTTAATCACACTTTTTTTTCATTTTCTCCAGTTCTCTAATATCGTAATTCAATAAATTGTAAGTCACCAACATACACGGTACAGTGTATTTACATGTATCTACATATCAATTGATGACACTTGAAATTCTTTTAATTCGATGTTTTGGGGGAAAAAGATACAAAAATGCACATTGGATACTGAATTTTTCAGCACAAATTGCTGCCATCGGTCTGAAGCTATCAACTGTTGCATTTTTCAGCAAACGTACCGTGACACAATGTATCAAAATCCTTCTCAATCCCCTTGAACAAGTACAAGGTACTTTTCATTTTCAATTCCCCTTGTGGTCATGTTAAAAAAAAAAAGTATTAAAATCCATTCCCTTGAAAACTGAGAACATAACATAACAGACTTTCATCCGAGTCGAATGTGAAAGTGTAGAGAAAAGGGAGTGCAATGCACTCGGGTACATCACAGCTTAACAACAATCCTCTCATGATATCCGGCCTGTGTGGATATAGACGAGTCTCATGTCAACGATCCTGTTTTCAACTGACTTTGTTTTGGGAGTCTCTGTGTGTCAAGCAGGAAGGAAGCGCAGGCGAGAGAGGATGCTGGGAACGCGATAAAGAAAGTTGGTGTTTTCATAACTCGGTGAAGAGTCATTTCAGTCGGTTGTTGCATGTGACCACGTACCGGTATTTCTTTAACCCTAACCGTGGCCCTTGATGAGTGATTTACTAGGATCCTTCCTCATCCTCACTCTTGCGAAGTCCAACACCATATGGTAACCTCTACACCCAAACTGTTGGACTCTGATTATGGTGGTATGCCTGACCCCATAATCAGTTTACTAGTGCAGTACTCACTCCAACAGATTTCCAACAAAATGCGCAGTTGGATTTTGAAGGGTTGGGGTGTTTAGGGTTAATTAATGAGATCTTTAAAGGTTTGCACAGATCAAAATGGGAAAAAAATCTACGTACATCTACAAACGGTTCTTAAATAATCCTCCCTCTCTGGCTGGCAAATTCAACAAAGCCAACCGGGCAGGCAAAATATATCAAGTGACCATTTTAAACAGCATTTTTGATGTACTCAAATCAATGTTTATACAGAACCATCTGTCAATTTTCTCCTTTTTCTATCCCTCTAAACCTTTTAAACTGTTCATAATGGAATAAACCCCTAGATATAGCTGACTTCATGAAATGTAAAAATGCAGAAAATTGTCATGGAATTACTGCAAGGCATTTTCACCATTATGCTGGTACTTCTGCATATGTAGCCCATTCCTAACAAGACAGCATTTGTACCAGCTAATAATCAACTGACAACGGATAACGTACCCGTCACCATCCAGTTGTGTAGTGGTCTCGCACCAGATTGGCAAGACCAGGCCAATGGTGGCGCTGTTGGACATGATATCCACCCCTAGGATGACGCTCTCCTCCGTGTCCTGCACACCGTTGCAGGATACCAGGATGATGTAGCGGACACGCTCCTCGTACACGCTTTCCAATCGGACCGCCTTTGGAGAAAAGGAAAGAAAATTGAAAGAGAAATGAGATCCTACAAATGAGTGAAACATTTTGCAAAGAGAAATGAGCCTTACGGACACTTGTTTTTGGACATGCTGTATAGTGTGATGTTGTAACATGTACTATACTTAACTGTAATTGTTTCATACCGGTACTTCATTATGTCCCCAAAAAAGTGCCCATCTGACTGTTTTATTTCAATTGAATAACGCATGGAACTTGGTCACAGGGTCCAAAAATGTTGTTGTGATCAATTGACAATTGTGTAGTGATGTGTGACTGAAACTAAATGAAACTCTGATCATAGGGGTTTAGGCCAAGGATAAGGAGTAACTGCACCACCAAATTTTTTTCAAAATTGACATCATGTTTTTGTAGTTATTTCAAAACTAACTAAGTTATTTTTAAATTCTAGCCATTTTTCCTTTCTTTACCCCTGAATGCACAATGTACATTTCACTCTGAAGGACATTGCTTTGGGCTTTAAGCATTAATAAACAATAACTGAGTCCTTGACACCAATGTCAAGTAACAGTTAGTGGACTGTACTGTACTGATCAATCCATGAAAATAATCCAAAACAAATTTTTGACTTGTGGCATAAATAGAGTAGTTAAGTTTAAAATCTACACAGTAAAAGTCTTCTTGCATTCTGAAACAAAAGTTTTTCATAGAACTGGAAAACATCACTAAAATGTAGTCAGTCTGTATATTTCAATGTGCATCTAATGTAAAACGTGCATCTAATGTAAAACGTGCATCTAATGTAAAACATGCATTTTTCTCAAACTTTTACTAACAATGATTCATACCTTTTTAAATTAAAAGCTTCAAGTGGCAAAATATGTACAGTCATATTCTGTTGTTTGCACAGAGTTGATTTTTCTGAGAAATGATTCAATCTTTACATCAAAATATGAATAATAATAATAATAATAATAAAACCGTTCTTATTAAGCGCATTACACACGGAGTCCCAATGCGCTGTACAAATTAAAAATAGGACAAAAATTAATCAGAATTGAACAAATGGGTTTTGAGGAGGCATTTGAATTGGTCCAGACTTTGTGCGTCTTTGATGCTTTGGGGGAGTTTGTTCCAAAGAGTGGGCGACGATGTAGAAAAAGCACGCTGGCCGTATGTCCTTGTAGATGACGATGAACAGGTGAGTAGGGATTTTGAGTGGGAGCGGAGTTTTCGTGGCGGTTCATATTTGTTAATCAGATCCTGTAGATATGTTGGCGCATGGCCGTGGATGCAGTTATACGTAATCAGAAGTACTTTGTACACAATCCGTTGCCTAACCGGAAGCCAGTGTAGGTCGCGGAAGATTGGTGAAATATGGTCACTACTTTTGGTTCGGGTGACCAATCTGGCTGCCGAGTTCTGAACTCGTTGTAACTTGGAGATTGTTGAGTCAGGTAGGCCAAGAAGAAGGCTGTTGCAGAAATCAAGGCGGCATGTGATAAAAGCGTGAACTAGCTTTTCTGTGGTAGGTTTGTCGAGAAATTTGCGAATTTGTCCAATCTTGTGTAATGCCAGGTATGATGATTTGCAGATGTTATTTACATGGATGTCCATCTGGAGATTGGTCTGAACAGTGACACCTAGATCACGCACTTTCTGTACAGGTTCTATTGAAAAACAGCCAAGGGAAATTGATCTAAGGCTGGAATGGTTTCTGAAAACGAGACGTAATGTGGATCACCTCTGTCTTTTCTTCATTCAATTTCAATTTATTAGTGGCGGACCATGCCTTAATGTCGTTAAGGCAAAGTTCAAGTTTTGCGAGGACTGATGAGCGATCTCGCTCGTTCATGATGACGTAGACCTGCGTGTCGTCAGCGTATATCATTCTGTCAATGCCATGAGCCTGAATGATGTCTTCAAGGGGTGATGTGTATAAAGTAAAACACAGAGGACCAAGCACAGATCCCTGTGGGACACCACAATTTGGCACACGTGGATCAGAAAGATCATCCTGGATGACAACACTCTGAGTGCGATTCTTGAGGTAGGATCCGAACCAATGGATTACATGACCGGATATGCCATATCTGTTCGTTAGACGCTGAAGCATGATGTTGTGATCTATAGTATCGAATGCAGACGAATAATCAAGGAGAACAAGAACAGCTTCCTGTCCCTTGTCAGCAGCTAAAAGTAGGTCGTTCTGGACACGGAGAAGGGCAGTCTCAACGCTATGATGTTTCCTATATGCGGACTGCATGTTGCCAAGGAGATTATTGTCTGAAAGGTAATCTTGGAGTTGGGCCGCAGCAGCACGTTCGATTGTCTTTGAGAGAAACGACAGATTTGCGATGGGCCTGTAGTTCTTGAGAGGTTCAGTGTCCAGGTTAGGTTTCTTGAGAAGGGGGGTGATGTGGGCTCGCTTCAGTGCTTCAGCAAAATGTCCATTCAGAAGAGAACGGTTGGTGATATTCGTGATGATTGGAACAAGTTCATCCAAACACCTCTTCAGAATCCACGTAGGAATCGGGTCAAGTCTGGATGTTGTAGAGGGTGAACCAGTGATCAGCTTTCTCACCGAGTTTGCAGACAGGGGTTCAAACTGGTGCAGAGTAGTTATGCATGTGTCGGACACTGGCTTAGAAACTAAGGGATCAGGAATGTTGTCAAGTTCTTCAGTGATGTTTTGTGTTTTGTTGGCAAAGAACTGTGAAAATCGATCAACAAGTGGTTCAGATGACAAATTAGCCGACGGAAGGGTTTTTGGGGATTTTGGAGTGCACAATTTGTCAACTTTGCGAAACAGTTGACGGGAGTCACAGTCCTTTAGTTGTGTCCTGTGATATTCAGATTTGGCCTTGATTATCAGTTGATTATAGTGGTAGCTCTGTTCGTTGAGAAGTTGTTTGTGGAACTCTAGTTTGGAGGATTTCCACTGACGTTCGCACTTTCGAAGTTTTCTCTTTGCTTTGCGAATGTTTTCACTGTACCATGGTGCATGAGGTCGAGATAAAATGGTACGGGAGATCATGGGGGCGTGTTTGTTCAGAAGATCATTCAAAGTTGTGTCATATTGATGAATGAGCGAGTCTAGGTCGTTGGCTGGTGCAGCAGTTAGTGGTGAGGCAAGAATGTCTAGACGAAAGGCCTCAAAATCAATCTTGCGAAGTTCACGAAGCTTGATTTCTCTTTTGACAGGGTCAGGTCTATTAATGTTTAGCAAGCATTTTACAGCAGCATGATCTGAAGGCAGGTAATGAGTAGTGTCAACCTGGGAAATCGCGTCATCTGTTGAGCGCGTTAAGAGAAGATCTAGTGTGTGACCATCGCGGTGTGTTGGGCCAGCGACATGCTGCTCGTATGAATAATAGCGTGCTTCAGTAATAAGACTATGACAGGGTCTTGGCAAGAGTTTCCCATGGGCAGGAAATATGTCTAACGAGGCCTCATAGTAACGGGGGGAGGGGGGGTTCAATATCAGGAAGGGAAGAAAGTACACCTGCTCTTTATGCCAATAGATAACGTTGCATGCATCCCATGACGTGAATAAAGTTATAGGATTAAGAGGGGATCATGAATGTATAGCTCATCCATGAGGTGACCAAGTATTTGTCCCATGACAACATGATCCACCATTCACCATTAAAGAGGTTGTGGATGCTCCAAGACATTTCCGTCATTTTTCGGGTATATATATGTAGCCTAAGGTGTGATGAAATAAAAACGACTATTGTGTCTGTCATGAAATGAGTACAAAAGGTACTTTTGAGAGCTGTTTTTCAGGTCCTGTTTCGACCCGAATGTGCAATTTGTGTAAAAGTCGTTGTTGGGGGCAGCAAAAAAAAACATACTAAATCGTGACGTACTAAACAGGACTCGTTTATACTACGCTGCATCGGGAGTCCTGTTTATTACGTCACGATTTACTATAAAAGGTTATACATGTGTGTACATGTACCGGTACATGTTACAAATTAATATATCATGCCAGATTATAGACTACATGTACAATTGTATGATGTGTGTACCGGTACATTTACATATAATCACAGACAGAGAGTGAAATAAATGTCTATTTCATTTTCAATGACTTACCAGAGTCATCCGATCTTCATGCCTAAGAAGCAGAAACATGCTCTGAATGTGGTCTGATAACTCCCCAACAACTAAGGAAATAAACAAATTCAAATTCAATGTTGTCAGAGTTTGAATCAAAATAAAGCTATGAAACAAAGTCGAATGTGAATAAGCCTTTTCGGAGTTCCAACTGCGCATTCGTAACCCGTGACAACGCGCATTATTTGTCTCAAATGGCCTTTGACATCATCGCGCCACTGACTTTACAAAAAGGCTGTTTGTGCATTGTGGGTACTGTCAAAGGGCATAATTTGAGACAAACAATGTGCGTTGTCACAGGTTACGAATGCGCGCAATTGGAACTCCGAAAAGGCTTATTGTAAAGTAGGGGAGTCCCATACACCAGTCATGCCTGGGTGACAAAAAAAAACCATTATTGAACCATTGAACCCTCCTTTTGTTTGATCAGTCACAGACAGTCAAAAAGTCACTGTCCTGTTCAGGTGTTCTCCCGCAAATTGACCTATCGTGTCTTGTACCCTACCTGTTTTATAAAACCTTCTGACAATCAAGGCCCTTTGGACAGCAGTAAACTGCGGCCTTGGGCTCCCACTCTCAATGCTCTGGCTTTTTCTCTTCTCTGCCAATGACAGGAGCTCCTCATCATCTTCGCTATCTTTAACGGGACTCTTCTGAGATAGAAGTTGCTCAGTAATCTTTTTCACGCGTCCCTTTTCAAGGGCTTGCAGCGTTGGGCTTGCGGTGGTGGTCGATTCTTGATGCAGGCTGACAGCTGGGGGCTGAGGGGATGAAATGTTACAGGCATCTATCTCTGGCTTTTCACAATCCTGAGATTCGGCAAGTTTCGGCTGATGAGTAGTATCAGGGTCATCAATCTCACAGGTAGTACTATCACTGGTGGGTAGTGTGGTGGTGTCTGGGGAAACCTTTCCTGATCTGGTCAACTTTGACCTGATCTCGGCAGCTTTGGCTTTGAGTCTCTCCTGGATGTCATGTTTCTGTTTCTGCACAGTTTCGGAGTTGACAGGAATCTCCGGCTCCAAAAACACAACATCCACAGTACTGACGATTTCCTCTTCGCTTTTCACCTCGACCTTCTCATCATCGGGGACCAGGTGATTGTTTTCAAAGGACGTAACTCTTAGCTTGACCGTTCCTTCAACCGGTGGGATATCGTTGGTTTGTGAGGAGCTTAAGCCAATAGCACTGTTGTTGTTTGTATTCAGTCCTTCTTCCAGGCTGATATAGGCAACTTCACTAGGAGGTGATACCTCCATCTCTTCAGCTTGTTCAGGTTGGCTCGGGGTGCTGGTCATTTCATGTATCCCCTCTTTGAAACCACTTGGGGATTCCCCAACTGCAAAAACATCCTCTGTCACAACTTGTCCAAGCATTAGAGATTCCAGTCGAGTATCTTCTGGTTGAGTGTCCATCTGTACATCTTCAAGCACAGGTGCTGCAGGCAGCTCATATTCAGTACGGCCAATAAGGAGTGGCTCTGTGGGCACGCTCAGAGTGGGACTCGTTGGGGTGAGCATTTCTGGTACAATGATCTGAATGTCCTGACAGTCGTCATCTAGCACCATGAAATCAATGTCGGCAGGACTGGTGCTCAGGCGGCCGGCCTTCTCGTGGACCGATTTGCCTTGAGTGTTGCTTGGAAAGTGCGCTTCTGCCACCGAATCCTTCGGGGACCAAGATCGGCGTCTGTTGTGGCCCAACTGCGGTGCAAGACCCAGCGAGAGTGCCGCAGTCTGCACGGTACTCCCTTGGTGAGTTGTTTCCAATGTCTTAGAGGCTGCATCGGGTAAGTCTTCGGTGCTTGAGGTGGACTCGATGGTTTCTTGGCTGCATTCTGCAGAGCTGGCTAGGGAGCTCTCCGACTTGCTTCTCCACAGCTTGTTGTGTCTCTGTCGACTACAGGGAAAAGGGCCAAGCACAATAAAACAACAATGATAACTAACAAAGGTTACTGCAATACGCCAAGAAAAGTGCTCTGCAAGGGACACAATGAAAGCTGGACTCAGAGTTGTAATCCGGTCATCAGAGGACACATTGCAAGTCCAAATGATCAGCCATACAAATGAACGATGACTGTCACCTGACTTGTAATTACCGTGATACAAATATGGTGGGATTCCAAATAGGGGTTACTGTTCTTAAGTCCTCAAGCACAATTACACAGTAGAACAACACTCCTTCCCAAGCAGTCACACAATTCGTCGCGTTTTTTCCAAACTGGCGAACAGGTTGCAACGCGCCTTTTCCATACCGGCAAACATGTATACCTTTTTGTATACATGTTCGCCGGTATAAAAAAAAAAAGGCGCAGTGCAACCTGTTCGCCAGTATGGAAAAAACGCGACGAATTGTGACATCCAAACTTACATTATGGAAACAGAACACTTTCTCCGAAACTGATCATTTGGGGAATGTGGCTATTACCTGGCATCCAGCATTCCTTCGTAGACCTGAAGCTGCTGCAGGAAGCCCGTATTTGGATTCACACACTTGCGCTTTCTGGCCACGAAGCTCCTGGCTTTCTCCAAGGGCCAATTGTACTCCTTCATGGCATAGGCAATCACCTGAAATGTAGCCAGTAGAAGTAACGAGATTGCTGAAACTGGTTACTGGATAATATGACCATGGGACCCATTTCTTGGATCTTTCGGAGCATAAAATGTTGCTCTGCGCAGAAATGTTTTGCTATCTAAAAACGTAGGCTACCAGCCAAGATGGCATGTGATGTCTATTGCTTCCGACTGGTTCTTGGCTCATTTTTGCTTCGTACATGAATTTGCTTAGCGGTATATTCTGCTTATTGACTCGGTGAAACTTGACCTAAGGGCTGATTTCAAGACACTACTTAATGGTTGGTAGAAAGGTTGTGCAATACATAGCACTTGACATTTACAAAGTATATGTAACGATTGAACAAACAACCAATAGGCAATTGCGTGAAACCCAACGTACATCCGGCCACATAATGCACATGTACAAGGTCGTTAAGGAGGTGGAACCAATAGTTTGGTCTGTAATTGTTTTCTATTCATTGGAAGTCACATTATAAAGTATACTTGAATCCTCGATCCTGATTGGTCGATCCATGGCAACAAGCCGTGCTACATATAACCACTGATCTCTATATAAAGACTGGATAGCGGATATGCATACAACATTCACACAGTAGACTTTGCATATTGACCAATTCGCCCCCGGTCTCACGAAGATGGCCGCGTATAATACGAACGTTCTACGCGTAAATACGCGCGCGTTGTATCAACAGTTGACGCGCATTTTGGTCACGTACACATATTATGATGTTCTAAAAGGGACACATTTCCGTAGTGATTATTATTTCAAAAACGCCGAAAAAAGTGATTTGCGGCATTATAAAAGTAACCACGACGTTAGAAAAATTGTAGTAAACCTTGGTCAGTTGGTCAGTGGTGGTGGTCAAAATATAAGTCAAGCAAACCGCGACGTTACAAAAGAAATCATGCTGTCTATAAAGACGGCAACTTGTCCTTTGTAGATCACCAGCCGGTCTCACCAATATGGCATCAAATTCATTCATTGTGCGGCTCTTTATTAGCAGCCTCGACTCCAGGGGCGCGTGCTCGTTCCTTACACTAACCCCTGGCTGTGATGATGACGTAAGGGCCCTGTCACACTTCTGCGTATCCTAATTCCTTATGAGTTGCGCATTGACATTTTTTTCATACGCAGTCGTACGCACAATACGCACCTCATATGCATCTCTATCGTTTTGTGTAAGTTTTATGTACGCAGGCATCCGCATGGTACGGCCCAGTACGCCGGATAGTTTTGGGCATGCACAAAACTACGCTGCGTACGCTGTTACGCAGGTCATAAGTTATAAATACGCAACGCATCGGTCCCGCGTCGGTCGTGCGCGGTACGAGTACGCTATGTGTTCGTGGGGGATAAACTGTTCATACGCGGTAATACGCTGACCTCCCGGCACGCACCCCGTCAGCATATGAGCCGCCTATATTGGACGTATACATAGCGTACAATTGCAGCGCAGATACAACGCCCGCTGAACGAACTCATAGCGAATGTCGACGTATTGCGTCAGGCATGCGGTCGGCATAAGTCGGGTGCGTCCAGAATACGCTCGGCATGCGCACTGCATACTGACCTATTCGCAGCCCGAAAAATAATGTTGTGCACTGCATACTTAACTCATACGCATCTCATACGCAATGGATGCGCTGAATTCGTTACTTGTACGCTAGATGTGCGTCGCACATAAGTCAAAGTAATCAAAAAAATTCGCCGTTTTGAGCGTACGGCTGCGTATTGAAAAAATTTGATAAGGAACTCATAAGGAATTAAGATACGCAAAAGTGTGACAGGGGCTTAAATGACACTGAATGGCTATTCACAGCGTACTGCGCGGGCATTTCGAAGATTGCATGCCGGGCGCGCCCATAATGCGCTCGCGCTCGCGTGCTTATAGCTTTGCACGTAACGTCACGTACGAACGGAAAAAAATTATGATTCAAAAGTCGCGAAGCCTGTACGATATGGATTATGTCCGCCGCGTTTTTCGCTAAAAAAAACCCTTTATTTGTGGTTGTAAAGGCACGAAAGGGGTAAGTACATTTAATACAAATCTTTGCTAATTAACACAACGTCCAAACGTTGTGTTTGAAAGGATTGATTCTTCAAAATCACAACTTTTAACATTTTAAAGATGGCGTCGGCACGTAAAACGGATAAACTGCAGCCCTAATTATAATGTACCGTATTTTGGTATATTTAAATTCAACCTCGTGCCCCGTGGGTACGATCTTGCAGCGCCATGTTGTTTCCCATCATGCCTTGCGCGTTAGTGTAAGGAACGAGCACGCGCCCCTGGAGTCGAGGCTGATTTAAATTACACAATTCCAGGGGTTACGATCGCGCAAGGCATGATGGAAAACAACATGGCGCTGCAAGATCGTACCCACGGGGCACGAGGTTGCTTTATTAGCTATCCAGTCTTTATATAGAGATCAGTTCATATAACCATACCGCACGGCCACGGTCCATACCGCACTCTGCGTATTGCGCTATTCTAAGCCTACGTGACGCGATTAGTGCTGCACAATTCACTGTGAATTCAAGAGTTGCGCGTTTGCGTCACGCGTCCAAAGAGGATCGTCAAACACGTTTCCCGGCTCGCTTTTACTTTCTTCTGTTTTCAGCATCTACAGTTGTCATTGATACTGATGAAAATGCGGATACGTTGCCGAATTTGAGAATGTTATTAACTTGTCAAATTAAAAGTGTTGACAATATTTCAATCTTTGGTGTACTGTCTGTTAATATTCTAGTGCTTACCAGTATATGAAATCAACAAATATTCGTACTACTACTAGTTCTAGTGGTGTCCTTCAGCAGGGCGTGTTCCACTCGCGCTCGCAAGATAACTAATAATATCCTGCACGTAACGTCACGTACAAACGTTTTCAAAACTGCGCGATGCCTGAACGATGTGGATTCTAGATGCATCGTTTTTCTATTTGAAACATTTAAATTTAAAGGGAATGTACACCATTGGCTTTGCTGTGATTTTCGGAAATAAACTATTTGAGGGGTTAATATAATTAGATCAAATATTGTTACACTGACATTTTGTATTCGAAAATGATGGAAAAACCAAGAAAAACAAAATTGTTCAAGTAGTCTGGTTCCCTGACTCCACAAAAGATAAACATTTATCAATTTATAGATGCCGGAAAATTGTAAGGTAAGGGAACCAGTCTAGCTGGCCTGAACCCGTTCACGAACATGTAACCAATAGCAAACAAAATTTGGACTGAAAAAAATGGTAAATTTGGAGCAGCAGTTGAAAAATAGTTTTTCCAACGGTGGTCGGCCGACCACCGTTGGAAATGTATACACAAACACAATTTTCTTGAAATAACTTCACACCAGGTGCCATAATTTTACAGGACTGTCATTTACCAACATCCTAGTAAGGTATTTCATTAAACCTTGGTAGTTTTATTTTTCGATGTTTGCAATTGCTATATATTCCCTTTAAATTAACGCGCAACACAGTACCTCAAATTTTGAAAGTTTTTTTTTGTTTTTACAAGGTGTAAAAAGTTCGAAACTTTAACTTGATTTTGAAAAAGATGGCTCCTTTGCACCTCTGCATCATTTTTGATTCACCTTGTCTTTTTCCAACTCGTCAAAGAATCTGCAGGCCCGTTTGTAGTCGCTTTCCAGTATAGTCGCCTGAATAGACAAGTCACTTTTATCTTCCGTTGTCAGTTTATCCGTAATGAAAATCTTTGTTAGTTTATTAGCGAGTTCTCCAGTGGTGTACATACTCCACAGCTTGTCCAGACCCTCCCGAGTCTCGATGCGAAAAACGAATGTCACGGATCCACACTGCACATCTTGAAGATTTTCGCTGATGAATTTTTCGAGAATTTCAGAGCATTTTTCCTCGACGCATTGTAAGCCATAGTTTTGTAATAAGTTCATCATGAAATTTTCAAAAGTCTTAGTCAAGACTTCGTCCATTTTCTCCTCTCTTTTGACTGTGGTTGTTACATCCAGAAGAGGTCGTTCTGTAAAAAGAAATACGTTATCACATGCTTTTATATGAGGTGCAGTAGTCATTTTAAAGAAGTGTTCGCCTTAAGTACAGCTAACCAAACAGGTTTCGGCATGTATGCAGAAGAACCTGATATATTCATTATGACACCACTATCATCACGACAACATTTGTCGTAAACCGTCAGTGGCGTACCATAAGTCCAATTGCAGGGAGACACTTAGGCTACGTCTTATTTATTTGCCTTCCTAAAAATTCTGAGCCGGAAGAAGGGGGCACAAAGAGATAGGGCTGTTGCACCGTTGTCAAGTTGGGGGTCATGCGTCCAAGATGTCCCCCACTTACTAACTGGATACGGCGTAGCAGAAACAACATGAACAAAGCATAATACAATGTAATAACTTACCCAGTAACGACCGTTCCAGATCTTTCCTTCCCGTTTCCATCAAGGCATTTCTCAAAATTTGCCTTGCTTCCTCATCATTATTCTGCATTCTTAGCCAGGCTCCTAACATCGCCCGGCATTGCCTTTCTCTGTTGTCTCTGTGTTTTGCCCGGAACGCTTCAATCTTTTCCTTTGAAAAGCTTAAAATGAAAGCCAGCGTCTCCCAGTCGCCGGCAACCTTTCTCGACAACCTCTGGAAGAACAATTCGTTTAATTCCGGTCTTCCTGTACATGTGTAAAAACAATTGCACAGTTTAATAAATCAGACACATGTTCGCTTACCCCATAGGCCCATGTATATTTATATTTGCCATTGGCTTTCGCGGACTGATAATTTAAGGCCTACCCGTTCTTCGTTGTCTGGAGCCCGTTTGACGATTTCTCTGCAGTTCCCTTTCCGGTTGGCCTGGGGGAAAAAACAGAGAAGCGTTTTATGTCGTGGTTTGCATTTTTTTTGTCTAGATGGGGAGGAGGAAATGAGATAGGTGTGTATGCACTTTGTTCTACACCGGCTCAATGAGGACTCGAACCGCTCAGTTGCATTAGAAACTAACCGTCTAGCAGGAAACTGTACGACATGCGAGCCAGTAGCGTATCCAGCTTTTGATGTCGGGGGGGGGGGGGCAACCGCACATCTGCTCCGAAATGTAGACATGTTTTTTTAATCCCCACACTTGGCCTCCGCAAAATTAAAAAGTAGGGGGTGGGCGGTACCCATGCATCTTCCAAATGGGGGCTCTCTTCAAAACTGATCATCAATATGCATACTGGTTTTTGAGCTGCTTTTCTTGGTTGGGGTCAATGTTAGAACTCTTTAACAACAAAGGCAATAGTTACTGAAAGAAATATCTTTCACAAAAATCCGTTGGGGGCATGGTGCCCCCCCCCCTCCTCTGGATACGCCACTGTGCGAGCAAAATGTATTTTCCATTACAAACTGGAAATTGTGCTTTACAATAATAATAAATTACACTTATATAGCGCTTTATACGGGTGTTTCAAAGCGCCCAATTGCATTTTTATGGAATAACGCTCTACATACCAATCCAGTTTATACATAACTTTTACATAGGGAGGCAGAAAACATCAGAAGGATGCGAATAAACAAGAGAATCAATATACTTGTACAGGGTGAGTCAAAAAGAAAGTGACTAATTTGTAAAATATTTTTTTTTAATATTTGGCTCGCTCCATAGGGATAGAGTACATCTTATTGACTTTTAACTGTGAAAATTTCACGTAATTTGTACACTATATTCCCATTCTCTATTCAATTAAAAGATCACAATACTCGGCTGTCTACCGCTGATCATTAAATGTTACCGTTCTTCGAACTGATGAATAGCCATTGAGTACAATGAAGCATAGATGTTTCCCCACCTCCATGAATAAACGAGAACTTGCAAAGGAAAACCTACAGAAACCGCCATCAATATTTCGGGGGGGGGGGAGAGTTGACTCACTCTCTATTTAGTCTAATTGCAAATCAAGCTTCCCATACATAATATTGTTACCTTTAATGGCTGGCTCATCCAGTTTTCGTCGGAAAGAACGCAAATCTTTTTTGGTAACTTCAATTGGAATTTGACATTTGTTTTTCAAAGACATGACAGGCCTACATGAATGAATCACATTCTACTTCACAAGTCCACATTTGTTGTCAAAGACATTGTTTTTTGCTCTTGTCAATTTCCTTTATAAAAATACTTATTCCCTGTATAAAAGAGCATAATTATTCTCTAATTTTAGTATTTACCTTGATCGATCCCTGGAAATACATTCTGAACGAAATTGATAGTAGGATTGACGACAGGTGCAAGAAAGGTAGGATTATTGCTCCCATCAACGTTGATATTAACTGGACCTGATTGCATTTGTCCGTGTCTTTGGGAAATGGGTAATGCAGAAGATGTGTCCGGATGGCCCTGGGGTACTAAGGCAGAACTGTGACTCTGATCCCCACTCTGTTGCCCAGGAAAAGTCATCATCTCTTGCTGCGCACCTAGTGCCTCTGGGTGTGGGTCGTAAAGAGGTTCACGTGCTGTTGCCCCAGTAACTTGAGCCTTTGGCTGAGCTACAAACGGGCCCTGTCCTATTGTCTCGTGTCTCTCTTGCTCCTCTTGATCTTCTTGTTCAATGTCAATTGAATCTGAGGAGAGTAGCATCAATACTGAAGTGAGCATTATTATTTTAGGGGTGTCTAGTTAGTCGAAATCTAAGATTTGACAAAGAGGCTGGAGAAGAATATAATATAGGTCGTATGCTATGAATGGGTATTGCAATAATTACTGAATAATAACCAGACGTATTCAGGGACCAATAAGGACTTGTAAAACTTAGGTCAATCTAAACCAATTTACAAGCTATTCATTTGCATTGTGAGAAGGCATACCCTTTTTACTATTTTACTATTTTACTCATGACACATCTTGTAATTGGACATGCAGTAGACTCGACTACAACACTGTTAATTGTCAGTATTTTAAGTGAAACATGCATGGTCCTTGTCGACTGCAGCACGAAACAATCTTGAAATTGGCTTATAAAGTTCACCTGGTACTCCCAACGCCAAATCAGCCAAACCCGAGGCTTCCAATGCTTCTCTCAACCTCTGAGATGATTCTCTGTTGTTCCTCTGCTTCCTCCACCAAGCAAACAGCATCACCAAGCTCTGTTCCTTGAAGTCATTCGTAGCTTGGATATTAACAATGTCTGCTTCTTCAAATCCAAGGTTTTTGGCCAGTTCCTTCCAAGTTAACTCAATTTTCGGGGCGATGTCCGACAGCAACTTAGCAAATTGTGGCATCTCTGCAAAAGAAGTGATCAAAAATGTCTAACTATCCTTTAAAAAAAGTAAGTAAGAAAGCCATCGATTGGACAGAGAACAGAAAATGACGCTATCTCGACTGTACACTCTAAAACATCCCGGGTCAGATTTAAATACCGGCTCTTTTTGGCCTGACACCTTTTAGGTTCAAAACTGACAGTCAACATTACACTGTTGCCAAGGTTCGCTGGTCAAATTGACCCCACAAAATGAGTCGATCAGAGAAGTGTAATTCCGACCAGACAGAGTGTCCATTTCGAAGAGCTGTAATGACTGGAGTCAATTACTCGACTCGAGTGCGGCTCGTCGAGTCACAGTTGTTGGTGACTGGACTCGACTCTAGTCACTGCGAGCAAAATAATGATTCGACTCGGCTTGAGTCCCTCATCAGAAGACTCGACTGGACTCGACTCGACTCGAAGGTTAAAAGAACTCGAGTCCCAAAAATAAAAGTAAAACATATTTTTAATGGATCCGTCGCAAATTGAGGTATTTCATGTAAGAGATATTTAGTCCGAATTTCAGCCCAGGAAATTAATTCTTGTTAAAATAGGAGCATTTTGAAACTACACTTTCAAACTCGTGTACTCTTAGTACACAGGAACAAAGGAATGACACCACAAGGATACAAATTCCAGTATGTGTGTGTTTAGAATTGTGTTTAATCACTAAATGTATTTTTAGGCCAGGCAATTATCCACACGGAGGCCATTAGGCTACCTTTGTCCCAATGCCTAAAATGAATAACCTGGTCCTGTGGTCTATTTGACCTCTCTTGGAAAATTGCTCATAAATCGGTCCAAAAAATATCAAATTTTGTCGTTTGATGTCTCATTTTAAAGTGAAAAGGTGTATCTTTCAAACCATACCTAAATTATCTATGTTGGTTACACATCCTACGTCTAGCATTCCGTAATATTTTGTGTGTATTATTTTAAACACACTGTGTAAGATCGAATTTTCTGAACTATCGTGATACAAATGACTTTCTCTCGTCTTTATTTGTTATGTTAGTGTTCAAAGAATCGTTAATCGAATTGACTCGAGCTTAACATTTAACTCGATCGGACTCGACTCGACTAAACACTGTGACTTACCTCGACTCGACTCGACCTTCTTGGCCTAAAAACTCGACTCGAGTCGAGTCACTTCTTTAAAATGACTCGACTCAACTCGGTGACTCGTTTCAACTTTGCCATTTTGTCTGGCCAAACAGACTGCGGATTCGGGTCAATCTGATTCGGGTCTCCTTGAGAGTCCACCGATATAACCAAAAACTGCGCTGTGCAGTTTATAAAGACAACGTCAGTCCCAGTTTTTGGTACTGTTGTACACTTCTTGTCCTTGAGGAATTTAAACTTACAGAAGATCACCGGAAATCGTCAGGTGGCATTGTCGTGGACATAATTATTTTAGTTCAGGACAAATTCTTCTGTCAGCCTCTACCTTTTGGTCCGCCGCCATGTAAACCATCGAAAGATAGACGGAGCGAAATATTCTCATCTTTCTCAATGCCGTTATCTTCAAGCGTTAACAAGTCACAAAGCTGCAAAAGAATGAAAAAAAAATGACAAATGATCTCATGATTTTTTCCTGTGGATTTTTTTTGGGGGGGGGGGGGGATTGTATAAATAAGTTTAATCGTTTCAAGTTTTATTGCGCATATATATATGAAACCCGAAACTATTGAACAGACAGTGTTTGTATGGCTCGTTCCTCACCATTCATTCCGTTCTGTTGAATAAACTGAACATATCTCAAAATGTTATATCTTACACTTCCCAATTATTTCAGTCATTAAAAAAGAAATTGTAAGCGACCAGCCAATCAACGGAATTCCCATAATCAAGGCTAGTTCTGCATGTGCACACGATATAAGGCCAAGGTAAAAAAAAAATGAATATGGCGGATAGATTATTCCATTTTTTTTCTTCTCATTTACTAATACTTTGTTTCGAAATGAGCCATTCATTGCTCTTTCTACCATATTTTGTAGTTGTATTCATAGTAAAATTGTGCTGAAAATCTGGAGTTTTTAAACTTGGCCTAAATAAATGGAAATGCAGCGCGCACGAGGCTGTGTATTTGAAAATGTTATGTAGAATAAACGGGGCCGTATCAAAAGTCCGACGCCTCATAAGTCCTACGTCGAAAAAAATTCATTTGTCGGACCTACGAGGCGTCGGAGCTATGAGGCGTCGGAGCTATGAGGAGTCGGACTTATGGGCCTAAATTGGTTAAGGGGATGCGATTGTGTCGGACTTATGAGGCGTCGGACCTATGAGGCGTCGGACTTATGAGCGGACCCTGAATAAACTTGTACCTGAAAGTTTCTCCTGATGTACAGACGCTGATATCGTGCCTCGACACCGGTCTTCTTTTGAATCCACTGCTTCAATGATGAGATGGATGTGCCTGGATCGAGGCGGAAACAAAGCGTCTTCGGTGTATGTAAGAAGGGAGCAGGCTGGAAGGGAGTCCGGACAAAGATTTGCAGCTTTTGTTTCCCGACATGGCTGTAAAAAAGGGAAATTACTTCTGTAGGTTTTGCAAATCTTTTTCCTTGAGCAAGATTAATTAGGAATTCAAGTTGCAGTTCGTCAAATAAACAGTTCATTATTATAGCTCAAATAATAACGATGTATGAAATTGTTCAATACATGTATATAGTGCCCTATATTTTTAGCGATTTCTCTACTCACTTGCGGATCCAGGGGTTGGGGGTCCACCAATGTACATGATATAGTGTACATGATCAAGGGATATCAACAGCGCCCGCATTGGAAGAATGGGTACCAGCACACACACCCTCTTTTTTCAAAGGAGGCCAAGAGTCCCGAAGAAAACTACCTGTCCACTTTACAGCACTTACTTGCTGATTAAAAAAATCTGACGGGCATGCCAGCCTCATGAGGCAGCCCTTCCCCCCCCCCCCCCCCTCCCCCTCCCCCCCCCCCCCCCCCCAAACATTTCTGGATCTGCCCCTGCTATTGAATACATTTGTCAGTGATTTGATTACCTCCGGCTGTTATTTTTGCACTTCAATTGTCCTGGCATCCATCGCTTTGATGGTCGCCTCTTTGCACAGCTTTCATCCGAAAACGTATTCCTGTAATGCAGTACAGACAGGAATGCTTGTTTCCTCCCTGGTTTGACTTTAGTCTTCCTGCTGATGAGTTTGGCGTTTGAGTGGTCGTACACGACGGATGTTGCCTTAATGTATGCATCTAACTGCTGAACGGTCTTTTGCGGCATCTTGGTAGTAATCAGGTCCAATTAAAGTTTCCTAACTAAAAGAACATAAAGAACAGTCTTTGTTAAAGCCAGTGCTAAACTATAAGATTTGGAACTTTAAGTCGTTTCACTGATATCATCTTTGTGGCCACGTGAGAGTCACCAGGGGCCTATCAACAGAAATCGTCAGGCTTCTTGGAGACTCGAAAACCAATTCCCAAACCAAATTTTAAGTTGATACCCAAATTTTAAGTTGATGTGGCAATTTATTTATTAAATCATAATGATACCTTAAAGAGATGCATAAAATAGATTTTTCTTAGGAACACATTTTGTGAAACTTTCTATTCCTCATAAATGTATGAAAACTGTTCGACATCTCTATTTGGATAATTTTATTCAAAGGTGGACTTCTTTAAACATTTTTTTTTTTTAATATGCTTTTCCGGACAACTGAGGGCACTGTTGCCGGGATGTCATTTCAGGAAGATACTGTTTAGTTTATGGTCTGGTTCCCTATACCCATTGTCCTTCGGGTTGCAGACCCGTAAATAAACTTCCATTGACCCCAATGATAAATGCTCCCACTTCAGAACCGCCATTGGAAACCCCTTTGAAACGCTGCCCATCCCCCCAGGTCACGCCCCCTGAAAAAACACTGTCACGAACTATAAAGCGCATGCGCACCGCTTAAAATAAATAAAACAATAAAACGAAAAAACAAACCCCCCAAAAATATTAAAACGAAACACAAACCTAACAAAAAAATAAAACGAAAAACAAACCCCCAAAAAATGTTATGTTCGTTTTTCGTTTTATTTTTGTTTCTATTCGTTTTTCGTTATATTTTGTTATCTGTTCGTTTTTCATTTTATTTTTTCTTTCTGTTTGTTTTTCGTTTTATTTTTTTTTCGGTTCGTTCTTCGTTACAATATCTTTTTTGGTTTGTTTTTCGTTTTATTTTTTTCGATTAGTTTTTTTCTTCTTAATATTTTTGTACGGGTTTGTTTATATGTTTTTTCGGGTTGTTTTCTTTTGTGGTATTTTGTGGGATTTTTTTTAGGGGGGGGTTGGCAGCAATACGCTTCCGTAAAAATCTGCTCATTAACATTTGTGAGAAAAGTTTGCTCATTGGCTTACTGCCATGTACCGACACAGCATCGAACCACAAAGAAAAGAACATTTACAACAGCAAAATATCAAATATTCTGGTAGCGAGTCTTTGCGCTGAAATAGCTGTAACATAGAGGTTTGTGCCTGAAATGACTTTACACTTTTGCTGATGAATATGGAAATTGGCATTAGCATAAAAACCAAAAAGACAGCAAAATACCCTTGAAAATGGCAAAACGAAAATTAAAAATAAATGTGCATTTTCAAGATTTGCATAAAATAAAATTACTTATTGGGCCTTTAAGAGTGCATTTCAGTTTGTTGACTCTTTTTTGACGCGTGTTTGTTGAACCTTGACGCTAATAATAGCACGACCGGTAACGGGAAAACCCATGAGTACCGTTCCCTATTTTAGGCCAACAAGGCGCAATTTTCTGTGCTGTGAATATAAAATGTTAAAAAAATGCATTTGAGCACACGGTTTTCAACCGCTTCACAATTCAACCGAGGTTTTTACCCAATTATGTTCCAGATATCTACACAAACTTAAAGATTGATTTTCATGATTATGTCATCCTTTAAGTGCCCTTCCCCATTCTGTACACAACCCAAACATTAAATTGTGCTCACCTGAAATTGTGCTCTTCCGCTTGAAATTAATGAAGTTCTGTTCCAATCCAAAGTTCACATTATAAAAACTGCGGATAGACAGGCAGATTGATAAATGATAAAAGCATGAGCTTTAATTTGGCACACAGTCAGACTCAGAGTATGTTATGGAAACGATATTTGACTATAGGGCCATCGCAGATTTGTCCTTTGAAAAACATAGCATAGAATAACATGCAATGGCCGCCATTTTGAAAGTTTTGAACATTCTTGTTATCCTATGATATCTTTTCAAGGACAAATCTGCAATGGCCCTATAGCCAAATATCTTTCCCATGACATACTCTGACTGTGTGCCAAATTCCATGCCTTTATCATCAAACTGAACAATCCGATATTATGCAGGTGTAGCAGTCACTTGCTCCGCTCGGAACTCGTACTAGGAAGGGGCAATAATGAGCATTGAATTTTTTTTTACCGCGCAGTGGATATTGATTGCCATCTAGTATAACGCTATTTTTGTATGATCCTTAATAATAGTTGAGTTAAAGGGAATGTACATCATTGGCTTTTGCTGTAATTTTCAGAAATGAACGATTTGAGGGGTTAGTAAAATAGATCAAATATTGTTTAACTGACATGTTTGACGTTTTGTGTCCGAAAATGCTTGAAAAACCAAGAAAAACAAAAATGTTTCAGTCGTCTGGTTCCCTGACTCCACTAAAGATAAAATGGATCAATTTATAGATGTCGGAAAATGGTAAGGTAAGGGAACCCGTCCAGCTGGCCTGCACCCGTTCAAGAACACGTAACCAATAGCAAACAAAACTTGGACTGAAAAAAATTGTAAATCTAGAGCAGTAGTTGAAAAGTAGTTAGGTTTTTCCAACGGTGGTCGGCCGACCATTGTTGGAAATGTATACAAAAATACCATTTCTTGAGAATGACTTGACACCAGGTGCCATAATTTTACAGGATGCTTTAGACTGTCATTTACCAACATCCTAGTATGGTATTTCGTAAAAACTTGGTACTTTTATTTTTTGATGTTTGCAAATGTTGTATAGTCCCTTTAATACATACAATGTACATCAACAATGTACATGTAGTATGATTGCTATGGTATTATACGCAGTCAAGCGGCAGCGGTGGTAGATGGCGCTATTCATTGCGTTGATTAGTAGACTGGTTCCCAGTCCCTCTATCATCATTGGTTCAGACATGGGACTACTCCCAGCAAGTAAAGGTAATAAGAGAAAAACAACCTCCAACTTTCATTTCACTGTAATAAATGTGGTGAGTTTATAAAGGTGTTTTACATCTGAAATAAGCCTGGTTTAATGTAATCAGATTTATGTGAACAACCCTATGGGTATGCATATTTTGTATGTTATTTTGGTCACGGGCTTTTCGGGCAGGCTCATAGAAGGTGTACGACTGCGTAGTCAATCAATGGACCGATCCAGTAAGCACCGCCCCATGGTATTCTGACCAATCACAGCCGTGATTTATGTCCTACATGCGTGCACAAAAGTTCGACATGCGTGCACGCGCGTATGATGCGCGCGGCAGGAAAATGCAGCGTGGCATTGGAAAGGAGCACGTGCTAATTTGCCCATGTGCGCAGTGGGAGGGGCTTACTGGATCAGTCCATTGCCCGTCATCAGGGGTGCGTTTTGGCGGTCATAACCAAGAATTGGTTCTGTTGTTTCTCTTTGGCTAATGGTTTTGGGGGTACTATTGCATTACCGTGAGTAATTCTCGTCCATTTAAAATTCCCGCAGAAATTCACTGACAAGAAACAACCGAACCAATTCTTGGTTATGACCGCCAAAACGCACCCCAGATGTCGGATGGCGTCACGTGGTCATGTATCTGTTTTTCAAGCGGAAGAGTATTGACCTATCGCGGTCAAGAATCGCGGTTGAATCGCGTTAGAATCGCGTCAACGCAGCTTGTGAAATATGGTCCAATTACATGATAAACAAATGGACGCGGAACGCGCAACATATGAGACAAAATTCCCCGTTTCTTCATGGACGCTCTACTGGGCGCAGTAGTGAGTGGGGCAAAACGTGCGTTACGCGCAACTACATTTTTTTACCAGTAGTTATTATGTATCCAACAAAAGTCAATAATGCATTTTCAAGCTTGGTAGTCATGACCTCGAAGTTTGCTCCATTTTCCCCTCGTATTTATTTTTCGTTTCAAAATGGTGGTGCGCGTTGCTGAAAACCTCCAAATAAAATCAGCTGATCTAATAAAACGTGTATAAAGACATTGTTTTAAACAATGAAAGGGAAAAAGTAGAATGTAAAAACTGCTTTAAATAACCGTTGAATTAGTTAAGAAAATTGTGAAATGTTTCAATGGATGATTTTAGAGATTTGTGTTAAAATTATTATCCTTTTGGGGATGAGAACAATTTACTTGGATTGCTTGCACATGTGTGACTTTTTATGACAATAATATTTCCCCTGAAAACCGTTTTCAGAATGAAATGGAATTACACTCCCGTAATGTTCCGAACTTCTGAATAACCTAATTAACTCCTCAAATGTATTTACATTGTGCTCCCCGCTCAGTACCCATTTTGTTCAACATGGTGAGATTCTTGCGCCTTCTTGAAGATTGCTTGACGTGCCACAAGAGGTCCAGAGCAAAATAACACAAATTAATTTTAGTGAAGGGCTGGGGAGGGGCGTGCATCCCCGGCCCCCCAGTATCCAACAGTACAAAACTGCATAAGATGTACGGCGTATGTCATACCCTGAGGAGGGACAATGGAGAAACAAAATGTTCTGGGTGTTGTCCCTTAAAAGCTGCTGTGAATTTAAATGAAAGGACAGAGCAACAACTACGGAAATAAAACGTTCAAAATGATCGATCATTCTTCTGTTTGTTTATGAAGAAAATAGCACTCAAACAACCGGATACATATTAAAACGGGAAATAAATACGAGAAATAAAATGGACCAAACTTCGAAACAAACATGCAGCTTGATAACCCATTTTAAATTTTGTTGGAGAAATAACTACTACAGGTCAAAAATTTTACTCTTATGGACATAAATATATCCCTTTTTTATTAAACCGACAAACAGATCCTTGTCATTTGATTGATGGAACTCACATCACGTGACATTTGTTATTGCTCCCATTCACGCCGCGGCTCAAAAAGTACTATCCGCCCATGGGGAATGGGAAATAGTAGGATCATTCTTATTCCATTACGCGGTATTAGTGTGCAATGCATGCTGGTGTGCGCGTTCAGCATTGCGCGTAGCGCGTATTGTTCCAAAGAGCCAGCGCTACAGCGTTGGGTTCAAACCTTTTCGTGAAGGGGTGGTTTGGAAGAGAGAAATACATTTTCCTCCAGTTTTGTATTGAAATAAAAGTTCAAATATATCAAATGACAAGGATCTATATGTCAGTTATATATAAAACAAATTTTGAGTGGCTTTAAATTTAAAAATGGGAGGAATATTATCGCTCGGTAAAATCTGGACCTTTTCAGTTCACCCGGCTTCGCCTTGTGAAATGGAAAAGTCCAGATTTTACCTTGCGATAATATTCCTCCCATTCCACGCTGAGCCACTCAATTTCATACAAACCTACGGAAGGTGCGCAAAACGCAACTTTTGCCCACCGGCGCTAAAACAAATTGGCGCTGCCCACGGGCAGAACGCGCGTCTGTACGCACTGCCGATCTAGTATACAAAATCCGATCTAATATGGTGAAAAGCCTCCTTCACGAGTTATTATACAAATATTAAGTTGGCGACAGAAGGCGTTAAAGAATGTGTCAGTTACAAAATCCTATATGTAACAAAATAATTTGACACCCACATTTATAGAAGGACTCATATGCAACATGCTATGTAGGTCTATCCATTTCATCTTAGTGTATGGGTTGCATTTTATGTTTGAAAACATAAACGTACACAAACCAACATGTTATTTGTAAACCACATTCACTTCAGTTTATTCTTAATTGTATTTTACATAACATTCGTAATGCCGTTTAGAGCGTTTTGCTAAAAAAAATCTTCTCTTATTGCAGTTCGTCGATTGCACGGTAGTGTAATTCGTGCTGGTTTGAGCTCCAATCACCTGCAGAACCCAGAGGTAGGACTGGTTGCCTACGATGACGCTGTAAGCGGTGCCGTGATTGATTTCCTACCAGACCCCTACGTCACTGCACGCTACGTCAGCGTGGATATCCCTAGAAGTGGTGCAATACTCAACTTGGTTGAAGTCATGATTGAAGAGGTAACCATGGATATAATCAAGACTGACACACCATCAGGTGATAAAAGTGCGAAACAGGACTATGACCACGCTAAACAAATGTAAACATTTAAAAGTATAAAGGAAGGTTTATAATTGCAATTAGTCATATCAATCCTTAAAGGCATTTGAAAATTTGGACAATATTGACTGCACTGAACAAATCAATAGAATAAATCAAAATACAGTGCTTTGTCAGTAGTCAAACTACATATATCTTTAACTTTTCATATATCTTTTAACTGTCAATGTCATCTTGTTTGATTTTGTACTTTGTTTTAATCTTAGTTGAAACTTTTGACCCATCCTATCTTTACCATGTATAAAGCTCTCAGCAAACATTCAATGATGAGGGGTGCTTTCGTATAGCAGTATTTGATGTAGTTGTTCACAGTATATCAGCATTTCTTGTATGTTTTTCATCTGGAAATATAAGAATTAAGATATGAAATAATACAAATAATGTTCCCCTTTCATATTGTGGTTGGTGGGCATCTGTGGAGAGTGTTCTACTACATCACACATGTATTATTCCCTGCAGGTAAAAAAAATAGTTGGTTCCGTTGGCAACTCAGACGCCAGTCATAATGATATTGTTGTTGGGCCTAACGTTGACAAATATCTTGCCACACGTGGCATAATCATAAGACCTATTTCAGTAAATGAGATTATTGCCTCTTATCGCACAAAACGAATGCCGTCTTTCTTTTCCATTAATCTTGAAGCCCTGCAGTTGACTGGTCTCCCAAGCAGCCAGAGCTCCACTTATTCAAATTTGGTTGCTTCGAGAGCTGTGGATGGATCTTCAATGTATGATTATAATGGCGGCCACATTAGCAGTACAAGTAAGACAGATCGCCGACTTCCATTTTGATATGACCAAATTAAAATAAAAATTGACACGACAGATTTATTCATTCAGTTTAACTAAAGAACAATTGAACTAGTCTAAACAACACGATTATTGATGCCCAATATCACTGATAAACTCAATCACAATTATGAAATTGTATTGATATGGTACACTTTCTAAATAAACAAAGAGTTATTTTAATCCCTTGTATCTCGTGATATTGTATGTAGATTTCATTGGAAAGTTAATGCACTATATGGTGCAATCCCCGAACCATCAACCCTTCTGCCATCAATTACTTGTTTTGTTCCGTTAAAATTACTTGTATAAGCTAACGTCCATAGCGTCACCACTAATTCAATATCCTTGCAATATTCCTAAAACCAGTTGTTTTCAATCAAAAGTGTGTGTTTTTCCCGTCACGACCGTACTTTATCTGGATCCATTACCTGACTATTTTTCTTTCGGATTGGAACCTGAATCCCTGGTGGAAGATAGATCTGACTTCTGTTCACTGCATTGGAAAAATTGCCATCAGGAATGTAGATCATCTTGAACGTAAGCATCAAAATGAAGCATAGGAGTGAGTTGTGTGGCACTGAAATCAGTACTGTTTGCCTGAGCTTATATTTGGATGAAATCTTCATTTTGATATCACCATCCAAATTAAGGCCCAAGTGAACACTGACGCAAATATTACTCACTAAGCCAAAGTGGGTGTTCTCAAACTGCACAGTCAAATCCAACTTCAAAATTTACTCAAGTAAAATTAAATTTTGAACTTTATTTCTTTCTTAATGTTCAGATGACTTCAGATTACGTTTGCAAGATGCTGTTGTCCGTGCTGGCCTAAGTAATGTACATCTTGATAACCCGACGTGTGGTTCTAACGTAACCCTGTATCAAGCCTCAATCAATGATTGGATTGAATTCACCTGTGATCCCTACAGACTTGCTCGGTATGTTAGCGTCGATATCGATACTTACGGTCATTTTGCACTGGCTGAAGTAATAGTATGGCCGTGTGATCTCCACCCAGCAGGTAAAGTTTGGCTTGATTAAAATGTATTTAGTTTCCATTTGTCAATACAACAGTATCTCTGTCGTGTTCTTATGTCAACATTCATTCATGATCTTTGTTAAGCAAATTTCTCTTGTGTGATTTGATATTCATCCAGTAGTTAAATACAAATGGTGGGACTTCAACAAAACAACCAATGTCTGCAATGAACCAAAATTGTCCGCGATGAACCTTGTTGGTCCTTTTTCTGGTCAAAATGTTTGGCGAGACTCGTAAAATAAGACTTTATATGTTAAATATTTCATAATGTTATTAATGTCATAGTTTTCTCTGCTTGTATGTTTTGTTTTCTTGCAGCCCTGAACTTGACCAATAAACCCAGTAGTCAAAGCTCCACAGACCGTAGTTTCGTTGCTGGTAGAGCATTGGACAGTCTTCCAATAGAACCTTATTGCAGCCTTACAAGTAAATCGTCATTTTTTTTTTAGTTCTTGAGGATCAAACTGCCCTGAAAAAAATGTCCTAACTGAAAGGATATTACAGAAAAAGAATCTATTTCTGCCAACAAATGAAAAATAATCACATGTACTCAAGTTTGGGCTGCATGCAGCTTTTCTATGTCGATTGCCAGTGAGTTATGAAAGTGCCAAGAAAAAAAGGATTTCAAACTGAGGTTTGTGATTTTTTTCTAGTGTTAAATTGTTTTAGTGCATGGATGCCTTTCGACTCAAACCGAGGTACAATAGAGTTTATGGAAAATGGTTGGAAACCTTTATGTTTAAATTCCTTAGCAGTAACATCTTAAAATAAACTTGGTGGCACATAAATATTTTGTTTGGAAACGGTTTCTTTTTGTTTCCAATTTCAAGTGTCAGATATGAACGCCTGGTGGATGGTGGATCTCGAGTCAAGTCAGTGTCTGGGACAGATTAGAGTTTGGAGCTTTGCACAGGGTAAGATGATGTCAACTTCTATGCTTTGAAATACATCTGAAGAACTTCAGAATCAGACCAGTTAAAAGATCTGTTTCAATACACGTGATCATCAAAATCGTCTGCAATGCAAACATGCTTGTCGGTGCTGAAGACAAGATGCTTTTGATGAAAAGTTTTTATTGTGTACTTTCGAATTTGGTACCGTTTTAATTTATGAGTGACATAACATTTTGACTTCAGTACTTATTAAGTCCAATCATTCACTACTTATCACTGCATTTAATAGTGCTGAATAAGTTTAAGTTGTTTCCGAAGGTTGTAGTCATGTTGAAAAATCTAAAAAGAATTATGTCTGTGAACACTTATGTAATATTTGTTATCCAAGGAACCAATTTCCAAGATGCTGCTGTACGTGTCGGGCTAAGCGATAATTGTACCAAGAATGTAGTGTGTGGTCGACAAGTCCAAGCTTCATCCGACTTTGTGGCGTTTACCTGCGATCCGCCCGTACTTGCCCGGTATGTCAGCGTCGATATCCCTGGAATGGCGAGACTCGGGATGTGCGAAGTGACAGTAGCCACGTGTGATTTCAAGAAACAAGGTAAGTTCATTTTGAAAGAAGAAAACCCGCTTGGACAAAAGTGTTTTTTTTTAATGATGAATGAGATGATAAGTATCGTGTTCCATTCACAGTTTTCAGGCTATTGGAAAAACAAACTCAGGCTTTCCATCTCTTCACAGGCCGGAAAAAAATCCATCCCTGTCTAGCACGCACAGAGAAAAATTTTGCATGCGACGCTTCATGGCAATTGTCATGCTCTATACACGAATTGTTTAAAGTAAAAGACTGATCCGTTAAGCCGTCTGCACCAATGAGGTTTTGAACAAAAATTAATCATAGCCTGAGACTGCACAACTGTCTGACAGAGATCTGACAACATGCACTCAGACATGACGAAGTGGCGTAGCCAACGAGCGGGGGTGGAGGCAGCCCCCGAAAAAAAAATTGTCGCCCCCCCCTCCCTCCCATCGCCCAATCGCCCACCCCAACTGGAAATTTACCTGATCGCGATCTGCCTTTTTTTCACGAATGCCCCTTTTAATGTCGCGCAAATGTCTTTAATTGTGCCGCCTTGAAGAGAGCCACCTTTGGCCGATAATGTCCGCTTTGGAGGGCGCTCCATAGAAAGTTGGTGTCCAGCCCCCCCCCCCCCCCCTCGACTTTTTTAATCTTATGGAAGCCGGGTGACAGGTAGAGAAAAACAATGTTAACCTTTCAGCACGGATCCTAGAGGAAAAACCTAAGTAAAGTCCTCAAAGAGGAATGTTTATTATGATGCTCAGGAAACGAGTTCTTTATTTTTCGTTTCCATAATTTTTTTTACAGATGGTGTGGATTTGACTTTGGTTGTCAACCCTTCTCTACTTGGCCCAACTGGAGACAACGAATCCGTCATTGCAGTGTACAGAGGTCCTGAGGAGATTACATCTAATGTCTCATTCGGTCGCCAAGTCTCAACAGGAGGAGCGTCTGGCCTTCCTTCAGGCTCAGGCGAGATTGTAGATTCATCCTTGGCATGTACAGTTAGATTGCTTAGCTTACCAGAGGAGGGAGGACTTGATAGGACGGGTGTCTTCTACGCAGAGGCGACCGGAAATGGCTTGACCACTAGGATACAGACTATAATTCTACCCAAAGATGGTGAGATTATTTGTATGTTTTGTGAATATTCAGTATGAAAATATCCCTGTTCAGTCAAAGTCACTGTTCTTCATTTTGTGCAGCTTATTTTTTACAAAATTGATTTTAACTGAAAATGCCAAATTTGATTAATTTTGGTATGGTTTCTGCAAAGAAAGTGGGGAAATGTGCGGTAGATCTCTTGCACTAAGGTGTTGACAGATATCTTTGATTTCATCCTAGAAAGCACCGTTTATATACGTTCTGTTGTGCGAACACAAACGACAAGTATTGGAGACTCTGTAGTAATGGAAATGCAGAAAGTAAACCCACCGAGCGAAGACTACAGATGGAGGCGTAATGGAGGCGATGTCATCGAAACTTGGAACAACCTCCTGAGTGTATCGATTCCGAATGTCGCTAAGGATGACGAAGGAGCATACAGCTGCTTCGTTGTGGATCAAGAAGATGAACAACTGCATGGAATCATGAGGCTCATAGTTAGAGGTTTGTTAGAGATTTGACCATCACTATACTTGTGCTTGAATGAAAGATTTTGGGCTTGTTTGTTAATTATTTATTTACAAGTCAACTAACAAACATTCAAAATGTAAAAGGCTTTCCCTTTTTCTCAATACAAGATTGCTCTTTCAGACATTGGGATCCACCTTCATGTCTGAAAACCTGTCGTCGATGCTACAATGGCGGTGTATGTGATGACGAGTCTGGTACCTGTATCTGCGCTCCGGGGTTCAGTGGAGAAAATTGCGAGCATGGTAAAGAGTTGTCAGTCAGTTAATTTGTTTTAATACATTAGAGTTGGGGCCACTCCCTGAGTAACATAAACAGTGAACCATTATGGCAGCCTACTGACAGAATTTATATATAAGGTCCCTTCAGTTTCTTTCTTTTTTTGTCTGTGTTTTGCAGTCCATGGCCGTAATGTCTTTGGTAAGACTGCTGATCAGAGGTGTCCCGGTAGCACTGATCCACACCACGAGGCTTGCCGAGGGCGTTCGTTCTGTCTTCCTGATCCTTATGGATGCTCGTGTGCTGCGGGTTACATGGGACTTGACTGTATGCAAGGTACCGTAGTTTGGCATGTATCATCAGTAATTTATTTACATAAGGATGGTTCATCACACAGTTGTTATCAAAGTATTTTTTTAAATGTATGGAGAAGCCTTTTTAAAAGTGTAGTTACACCCTTTTTTTTCTTCAGAATGCGCTGCAGGAACATTTGGTGCGGACTGTAAGCAGACATGTCACTGTGCATCGGGAGGAACCTGCAGTAAAGGTACAGGAGAATGCAGCAATGGTGAGTGTGTCTATCGTTGGTTGAATGTTTGCCAATAGGTGGAGGCGGGCTTTACGCCCAATCTGTGTCAACTGCCCCAACTTTACCTGGGGCTTGCCTAACTTTGTCTGACACATTTGAGCATCAGTAGGTGGTCGTGTGTGTACTGTGTGGCGCATGCGTGTAGGGCATCGTGAATATGCATAACCTTGTAACTTATGCATTATGCATGTTATGTAAATAGAATGGAAAGCTTTGTGGGCGTGATTGGTCATACAGTGTTGTGAATTAATCGATTATTTATAGCTTTTCATTTGCGCTAAAAAAAATAGTAAATCATGGGTATGTTTTGGCATTTTTTCAAGTGCACGGTGCTGACACAGTTGGGCATGCCCCAAGTATGGTAAAGGCACGGTGGGGGCAGTTGACTTAGTTTGGACGTAACAGGCTGACATCATCCGATGAAAACATCCATTAATTTGCATACCGGTTTTCATCGGTTGCTATGTAATACCATTCAGCACTCCAGACTCAAGAACCATTGCGTTTCAAGAAGATAGGTCTGGGAGCTAGATAAACCAATGTAAAACATTTCCGGATGTCCGCGCCCACCTACAATTTTGTGTCCATTATCTTCGAATCACGTGTGATTTACATTCAGGTGAAAAGCAGTTGATGTTTTTTGACGTGTTTTGATCACATTATGTTAATCTGCTCACATTTATTGTTTCTTTTGATCTCTTTCTCCAGGTTGTGAGGCACCGAATTTTGGAAATAATTGCCAGTGCACAAGTAAGAGAGATAATAGAAAAGAAAGAAAATTCTTGGTTCTTGGTTGGTTCTTCTCCCAAAAACTCTGCGTGAGAGTTTTAACTGGAGGCCAGAAACACAGGGGCAAACCCCTACTCTTAGCGATAAGTGTTACTGGGTTCTTTTACGTGCATTGCATTATACAACACATGGGACCTACAACTTTACGTCCCATCCGAAGGACGAAGCAATAATGGTTAAGTGCCTTGCTCAAGGGCACAAGTGTCCGCCCGGTGGGCTCAAACCCACGTCACTGTTGCCTCTGAAACACCAGAGCATGATTCCGGTGCCGTTATCCATTAGGCCATGACACATGACAGTAGTCTAGAATAAAGTAACACTATGATGTTTGTCATTTTAAAAATGCTTCAGAGAACCTCCTCACTGATACAAAAGCCTCTGATTGTTCAAGACTTTTCAAGTGTTTCTTAAACACTTAGTTTGCATTTTATGCAATGATGCGTTTTACAGTTTTGTGTCATTTTTGTATCATTTCATCAGCTGAAAATGGCGTACTTGGGCTTAAGGTGACGTCAGGCGGTCCTCATCAACTGTTCGTTGCCTGGCAACAAGACCCTTGCTCTTCTGGCTACGAAGTGACAACCAGGGATGAGTGTGAAGACATTGTATCTCAGAACTTAACAACGGGAACAACTTACCATTTCATAACTGACTTAATGTTCCCACTGAACCACAGAGTTCACATTCGGCCGCTGTACCCTGGTGATGTACAGGGACCTGAGGTGAACTTTTCGCAAACAAGAAGTGAGTTAGTTTACCATAAAAACTGCCCATTTTCGTTTGATGGAACAAAGTTTATTTTGCGCAATTAGTTCTTGTCACCAATATGCACAACAACAAACGTCTTTTGAAAAATAGCTCAATCAATTATGTTATAAGAAGCTAGTTAGTATGGAGGTTTAAACATTTGACATTTGGAATTGCACTGACTTTTTCCTATTTTTGTTTTCTTTTGTTTTCTCATTTCAGAGCCATTTGAGGCCCCAACTGAAGTGAATTCCACCTCAGTGACGTCAACCAGCCTGAGTTTTTCCTGGAGTAAGCCACCTTGTGGAAGCCGAGGTGGTATCATCACAGGCTACACGTACAAACTGACTGAAGTAGGCCCAGAATCTACAGAAGTCGTTCAGTCAGTGACATCAGAGGAATCGGTGACCATCGAGGGTTTGTCCCCGCTCACTGAGTACAGTTTTCAGGTTGCTGCTAGCACCAACGCCGGAGCCGGACAGTACAGTCAGGCTCAAGTGAAAATGACCCTCGCAGGTAAAAAGTTTATCAAAATATCTTTCCCAGCAACTTTCATTAGGCGTACCCTCAAAATATGCGTAAGCAATTGTTATTGGCTTGCTAAATATTGTTTTCTCCCGCTTTTTTTCGTTTGAATTTGAGGAAGGTGTCTGCATATTTCAAACATACTTTGCCTTTCTCCTCGGACTTCTTGATTGTACAGATCTTACAAAATCGTAGATGATGTTTCGTGAAATGCAAAAAGTAACTTTTACTCGACAGATCCATGTCACCGTACCGTAGGATGTCAACTTGAAGAAATAAATTATCATGTTACCTAAAGCTTGATATTAACTGCCTGTGATTGTTTATCAACGTACTCATTTTAAACATGCTGTTTGAAATTACAGCATGTCCGACATTACAACAACCTTTCTTTTTGAATTCTTTGGTATGCGTGTGTTTCCGGTAAAGAAATGTCGGGAGTACTCTAAACAAGATCCGTGTTAAATCACGTGACCATCAAAACCAAAAGACATCGTATCTCAGATAAAGTTTTCTAACTTTTCTCGAAACTGTCTTAATAATAGCGCCCCCTATGGATGTAGAGCCCGCCCCTGACTCCTCGGCAGTGGTAGGCGGCTCAGTAGCAGCTGCTGTAATCCTGATTCTGATGGTGATAAGTGTAGTCATTGTGATGCACAAAAGGTACATCAAAATCATAATTACTTCAAGACCAAAATCATTCACGAAAATCTGGTTTCCTCTTTCGGCGTTGATTAGATGATTAACAGTATCTTTCCCAGGAATATAATACACATTTTGATTGATTTGATAACCTTGGAACTAATTTACAGACGCAGCCGTCGAAAAAATCTGCCTTCTGGCGTCAATAGAGATACTTCTCTTCAACAGAACAAAGCTTTCGAAGCAGGTGGGTTTTCTGTCAAAGCTTTTAATTTTTTTAATTGCATCTCATTTAAATCTAATCCCAACTTGGTTGAAAGCAAAAACCATTATTGGCCGTGACTAGGGACTGAAAGGCTTTCCAAAATCTGCTAAACCAAAAAAAACTAAGCACGAAAGGACCTCAGCAAAAATAATGTCACAAACAACTTGCATAGCATGAAGTGTTGGTGTGGAATCTTTTACCCAACTGTAGGCCAATATTTAGGTATAGAAATTCTTGATAACAGATGTGTGTGACATTGAATTTATTTCATGTTTTGAAACCTGTCGGATGATGTTTTCTATTTAGATGTGGCCTATCAGGTTCCAGAACCTACTGCGGAACCGGCCCCGTACATGAGCCTTGGCGATGGTGTAGTCACGATATCTTCCGCCCAACCCATTGCACAGAACCCAAGTACATCACAGGATGTGGATGATTATGAGGTTTCCATATCCCAAGCCGAACCTCACGCGTACACTTACATAGACGCTGACATCGTGAAGAAGTCGTCCGCACTGCAAACTGAACGGAAACCAAAGCCCAAACCTCCTCCAAAACCGCACGCCGCCCACGACGACACGTATGAGGTTTTGGATTCTGCGTGCGCATCCGTGGACGAGGGTAAAGAGAAGTCTTCCGCATCGTCCGTCGCACGCAAACTGATGCCCAAACCTCATCCGATACCATCCGTCTCGCAACCAGCTGCCGACGAATATGCGCAACAGCAGTTCTTCCAACACTTTTTCAGCCAGCTTTCGGTTCGTGCCGATGAGCTCTCAGAATACATCCGCAAGAAGGAGCAGGCTGACCAATATGGCTTTCCTAAGGATTTCAAGGTAAGTGAAAATCAGAGTGTGCTGCTAATAACCAAGACAAAGTGCCCAGACTTTGGTATCTATCAGTACGTAAGTCACTATCAGTAGGTAAGTTTGTAGGTATAAAGTGGAATTGGTGTCTTCTGCGAAGAAGTGTGGGCCGGAAACGAACCAGTGTTGAGAATTCTTCTCGGCGTGTCGTATACATACACTCTTCCATCGTTCGGTCAGAAAAAAAGCGATCGCGTAGGAATTCGCAGGAACTGGGGACACCATAAGTTGGAAAAAGAATGTTGTGATTAAGATTACGATGTCTTATTTCTGGATGCTAGATATAGTGTCTTATTATTTTTTTTTTCAGACCCTTCCAGATGGTCAGTTAGGTCCAGCGACTGTGGCTTTAAAACCACAAAACAAAACCAAGAATCGTGATGCGGACATCATTGTCTGTAAGTATTGGTACATCTCGCCGGTTATTTGATGCTGTTAGCTCTTTTGGTTAGAAAGCAGACAGAGAAGATTCGTAAGAATAAATTACACATGCACTTCTAGAACTGGTTCTGATTTTTTTTAAGTCCTTTTCTTTTGGTCACATGTCTTTCGTGTTTCAATAGAAAACACGATTTGTTTCTTTAATTTTTGGACAGTTGGTATACAACTCAATTACATTAAACGGGCCAAATTTAATTTGAAGCCACATTGCCAAAAAGGTCAAACTGCAGGTTGCTTTTTTTCCATGTCGTTCATAGATGACCATTCTCGCGTCGTGTTGGAGCCATTGCCGAATGATCCCGATTCTGATTACATAAATGCTTGCTACATTGATGTAAGTAATAAGTACCATTTTTCATGAAAATAATTATTACTGTACACGTTCCCTAAATACGAAATTGATCAGTTTCCTGTTTTATACACTGCTCCCGACGAACAATTTACCATTCTTTGAAATTTAAAAGAATCCCAATTTGAGTGAGCTTCAAGGTGCATCAAAACAAAATTAATACTAAAATGATTACAACCAAACTTTTTCATTCTTCTTCAAAGGGTCATTTGGAGAAGGACAAGTACATTGCCAGTCAAGGTAATTTAAATTGAAATCTGCTTGCCTTTAGGCTTTAAAACTTGTTTATTTTAAAGTAATTGTATGGTCAAAAATATATAGCAGTATAAGCAGCCAAAAGTATATTCAATTGCTTAAGCCATTGATTATCTGTTGTCTAAAAGGACCAACCGAATCGACGGTAGGAGATTTCTGGCGTATGGTGTGGCAGATGAAGGTGGATAAGATCATCATGCTCACCAATCCGGTAGAAAAGGGCAAGGTAACGTGGGCCATACTTCTTGCGAATAATCTCAATGTCTTAGAAGGCAATTTGTTTGTGAGGAGGACTAAATGTCTTTTTAGAGAATGTTGATAGGTCTAGTGTAATTTAGTATTGTAATTTGTCTAGTGTAATTTTTCAAACGTGCATGGAATGTATAATTTAAAAAGGATAATGTTGTCATTCCATTTTGTGTGTCATATAAGGTGAGGTGTAACCACTACTGGCCAGATACCGGATTCAAAACTTATTCTGACATCGCAGTCAGCACTGTAGAGAAAGAGGACGCGTTCTTGGACTACACCATTCGTGTGTTTCAGATAAACAAGGTAGTGCTCTTCTACGTTTTTGGTTTCTGCCCTAATTGGTGTCCTGACTCCTGAAATCCCTTTGCGAGGATTGGTGTTATCAAAGGCCGAAGAATTGATTCATGAAAAGGTCGTTTTGACGGGGCTGTAAAAAGTACTCAGAAACTGATTCTAAAATACTCTTTAAAGATGACTTGCTTTTAAACTTTTTTTAGCAATTTTATGTCATCAGTTTAGGTCAATTAAAACAGAAAAATGCTTAATCGTCATATGTTTATATCACATTCAGGTGTTTAGTGCGGAAAGTAACAGACTGGTGAAGCAGTTTCATTTCAAGACCTGGCCTGACATGGAAGCACCAAAGCACCCGACTACTGTGCTCAACTTCATGCGAGTAGTGAACGCTGAACGTAACAAAGGACGGACCGTTGTACATTGCAGGTAGGAACCGCCATGATACGAATAATTATGCGCCATAAGCGATAGTCAACAGCTAAACGGCTTGATAACACGTGTCTCCTTTCTCTTGTTTCAGGATCCGACTTACATTAATTCTGAGTTAGTGGAAATGTTACTGTGGAATATTTTCTATGTCTTGGTGTCGCTTAAATTAATATTTTGCATTTCTTTTAATTAGAGTTGAAATTTAACCAATTTGGAGAAGTGACCGACATCCATGTAGGCCAATGTCTAGAATTATACTTGACACTTGCCTATTTGACACTTGCCATTGTCTTTGATTTTTTCATAGTAATGGTACCGGCCGTACAGGAACCTACATCGCCCTGGACTCCATGCTTGATCAGATGCACCAAGAAGGACAAGTTGATGTCCTTGGCTTCATCTATCGCATGAGACAAAACGAAACAAGATGGTGCAAACACCGGTAAGTTCTGATACATATGGTTTTAATGATGGGATACACATCCCAACGAATGTGATGATAAAGATGTCAATTAACCTGATGATTTCCTCTTGTTCGAAAGGCAGAACTTATCAATATACCTAAGATGTCGGACAACTAAACAGAGACTTGAAGTTAGGTGGAATTGTTACAGTTGACTAAACCACATGATCTGACAGAAGGAGACCAGTGGCGTCTAGTCCATATAGAGAGCGCTTCATTTTCACACTATCAATGCTCGATCGGTTGTGTCTATTGTGATTGATAACATGATATTATTTCATCGATGTTTATATTTTAGGCGCAATACCGATTCATCTTCGAAGCTCTGCTGGCTGCTTCTAAGGAAGATGACACGTCTTACGAGAACATAGGGAAGGGAGCCAAGAAAGCGGAGAAACAGGTGGATGTAAAACTGACTAGAAAGTAAACCTCGGTCATCTGAGTTGACCGTTTGACTAATGAGTTTGAAGATTTAGAGGCTGACATTGTACCTGATAGAGAATAAAAACTTCTTTATACCCAATGATCTTTGTGTACTTTTCACGGATTTTGTTTTCATATTTGTCTCTGATTTGTATTTGCTTGAATTTGTATGCTTACGCTATATTCGCTGATCATGTTTATCTAAGATAATGGTAATTTGCAATTATACAGTTAACATGGATGCATACTTAATTATATCATGGAACTAACTGTGAATGAGAATTGAATGAATGGTGTTAAGAAAACAAAGAAACAGTTAGATTTAAAGTTACTATAAATGATGTAATGGTTGCTGATTACGACCAAATTTAACGAGAGAAAACGGTAACCTGTCCATTAAATAAAAAGTGTTAGTTGATATGTTGTGGAAACTTTGTTTAATATATATGTTTGATTATGATACAAAATACCATACGTACGTACTGCTTTGTATAATCCGAATAGAGGATACCACATTGAATTTATATCTACTAATTGTATATTGGCCTACTCAGAAAAAAAAGTGTACTGCGTTAAGTTTATTATCTGTAATCGAGGTAAAAGATTTTGCCCATTGTTACATTACAATAGTGCTAATTTCGTATTGTTTATTGTTTATCATTTCGCCGTATTTTGGGGAGATTTTAGTAGGAGTTACCATGAGCAGTTTGTTAGTGTTGGCAATACGTGTGTTTTTAGCTGCGGCATATAGCAGCTCCACAAATCATCATGTCTCTCCATTAGACATTGTCTATCGTTCCTATAGGCCTACCAAGTTGACCAATTTCAACCAAATTTTGTCAAAAGTATCAGTAGCCCAGCCCCAACATGTCACATGGCCAAATTGAGGTCAAAGGTCACATGGGGTCACTGGGGTCCGAAATCTGATTATTTTTTACTCAAAATACTCCTTCCAGAAATTACATAACACAATCACGTGACTCATACATAAACACGAATTCCTTGACTCGCAATTTCCGAGATATTGCCGATCGAGCTTGTTTATCACCGACGTTGAATTCATGTTTCTTTAGAGAACAATTTTATGTCGGAAGACATTACCAGCACGAACCCGAATGCTTTCAAATATCAAAGATGCAGGTAAAAAGTAGTACGTATTTTTAAACCTTTATCAATATTGTTTTATTATTTACCGAAGGCTCAACTTAAAGGCTATGTTTACTCAGACATTTTTTTGTTGCAGCAAATGTAATCGGAGTATATTTTATTTGCAGTTTTGTTTTAATCACATTTCGGATGTCATAAGATTTTATGATTCGATTAAACTTGTGCAAAAAACAAAAAAAAAGTCGTCAAATTTTTAACTGTTTTATAATACTGTAAGCTTCAACCTATCGAGGTGTTTTTTTCCCGAGTGCGGCATTGTTCAGGGCGTCAGGACATTGTTCAATATTTCACGTCAATTTTCCTGTCATGTGACTTTATAAATACATAATTATCGTACCGAGGGCGATGCACAGGCCACTTGCATGTTTACACCAATCAAGGGTCCTATTCAATAGGCCTTCCTTCTGTGTTGTAAACATTGGCGCCATTTTGTATGGGCTGCCATAAGCGCATAAATTGAAGCCGTGGTTGACAACATATTTTCCCCAAAAAGTCCTCATTACGCCATCAACACATAGTAAAAAGACATATGTGGGAAGTATTTTGTAGCTTTGTTGAAAATGTTGTATTTTTCAAGTATCAATTAATATTTTAGTGATCTGTAATAACTCTTCTTCATTTTTGCAGTGTTGGACCTTCCATAGTTTTGCAGGCCGTGGTTGGCAAAAATGCAGTTTGCCAACCAAGCGCAGAAAGGTCTATTAAATAATGGATCTGTTTTTTTACAGACCGGAAGCTAACGCAACTTGAGTGTTTATCCAATGGGCGCTAGTAATCAGTGGTGCGTGCGCGTGTATGACGTTTTTACTAACGAACAAGTGTAACATGAATATCCGACTCCGTGAAATATGGACTCATTGGTATAGTATTGCGCATGCGTAAGTATGATAATAGCCTATTTTAGGCATAGAGGAGTGACTTGTTACGTGTGAGGGATTAACCAATAATAGGGAAAAGGAGTACGATTTCCATAGGGGTCGGATTTTCATATGACACTGTAGTCTTGGTTCCAAGACGAGTAACTTCGTGGAAGTACAGAATCGTTTGCGCTAGAATCGATACTGTGCTAGAATCGATGTGTTGAATAAACACAGTGAATAAGTATCGAATACATTGCAGAATCGATAACAGTTTTTCATCGCGGGCTGCGCCTGTGTACTAGTGCAATATAATTTTCGCGCGCCGGGAGAAAAAATTTTCCACGAAGGTCTTGGAACCAAGACTAGGCCACCGACGGCAGAAGTGACACCGTGCAACGGAAGTTCTATTTACCTTGCAATAGACCGCTTGCAGATGTGTTCGATAATCGACGCGCGAAGGCGCACGACGCCATGTTGTGGGACAGGCGTATATCTATCCATGCACATTTTGTCCCATAACATGGCGTCGTGCACCTTTGCGCGTCAACTATCGATCGCGTCTGCAAGCGGTCTATAGAATATCCATGGCACTGTGCGCTGCGCGCCGCGCGCTCGCCGTGTGTTGGTACCACAGACATATAAACGCATAGACCGCCAGTCCTGCGCGTAAAACCGTGATTCGAAAAGGTAAGGGGAAAACGCTTGTTGACAGCGCGCGTATCCGCTCGACGCGCGCTCGATGCAGATACGCGCTTAGGACACTACATACATTTATATTAAAAGCATATATTTTTTAGCAAAAAAAGGCTGTTTTACTCACAATCAGATTCAAAAAAAGTTGTGCGCCTTATTGTTTTTTAATCTACCTAAATCATTTTCAGTACACAAGGGATTTGTTTACAATCGAAAGATAACTTCATAGAATTTTTGTAATGGAATAGTTTGGGAATAGTGTGGGTGAATTTGCCCATAGTTTGGGATTTTAGTCGGGCGCCGCAAAATCACGGAATGCGCATGTAGTTTCGAATGGAACCTTGCGGTCTACGCGTATATATGTCTGTGGTTGGGACGAATAATTCAATGACATGTGATCGACGATCCACCAATCGGATGACGGGGATTTATTCAGGCGTTGTACAATATTTCCCATTCCCCATGGGCGAATGGGACTTTTTGAGCCCCGGCGTGAATGGGAGCAATAACGAATGTCACGTGATGTGAGTTCCACCAATCAAAATAATGCCAAGGATCTGCATGTCGGCTATAATAATCAACGAAATGTCAACGAACCTTATTCGGAAAACGTCGGTCGTTTTCAAAAACGAACAAGATCTTTCTTGCTTTGATCAAGGATGCGGCCTTAAAGATTCGCCAGATACTTATAAATATACTCTACCGCTATATCAATACTGCTACTACTACTGTTATATACTGCTATCGCTACTCTACTGCTAGATAACGCTAATGATACTGCTATATAGACACGCTAGATACTGCTACTACTGCCGCTACCGCCATATTTACTGCTACTGCTAGATGCTATCGCTACTGCTACTGCTATAGATGCCGCTTATGATGCTGATATTGCTAGATCTCTAGATACTGATACTGCTACCGTCATATGCATACTGCTACTGCTACCGCTTGATATTGCAACTGCCACTGCTTTCGCTACTGCAATATACATACTGCTCATACTACTGCTACATACTGCTACCGCTGCTACCGCTACTGCTAGAATAATGCTACCGCTACTGATATATACGTACTGCTGCTGCTACTAGATACCGCTAATGTTACTGTTATTGCTAGATACTCTGGACCAGTACTGCTATACATATACTGCTCCTACTTCTGCTATATACTACATGAAATACCACTACTGCTATACTGCTGCAGCTACTGCTACTGCTAGATACAGCTAATGGTAGACACGCGAGTCTGGTACAGCTATTCTTTCTGCTATTACTGCTGCCACTACTACTGCTACTGTTTTATTAACACTTTAAATATGGGATGTATTACTCGAAGAATAGTTGTATCAAATGTAAAAGTGTAGAATGGAGTACAGAGAAATCCCCCGCGATTACTCTTTTTGACAAACAAAAGTCGCGTAAAAGTGAAGCGCCCTAGCTCCTGCGGTTGTCGCAGCACGTACATGTGATAGCTTTCAACATATCCGCCGAATTTTAGAAATTCTTTTAAAAAATCTCAAAAGTATGATTGTGCCCCCCTCGTTTTGCGAAGACCTCAAATACCTGAAAAACGTATTCGTACATAAGGAATACTACACAGAAGTACGAGTCGACAAAGATGACCGTAACATGAGTGTCGTTTGTGATGAGGAAAGCTGTTCTAAATTTGTTGCTCGATGCAAAATTTCAACCTGTCCCAGTCGACTGGACCAGATGCTGCATTGAATGAGTTCAACAACATGTCGATTTCATCAGGGATCTCTGAGTCGTCCCGAAGCACCGGTATTACCACACGACTGCGCCTACTCTCTTTCCTCAGCTTGAGCGCGTAGTGCATGGAAGCCTCGCACTCAGACATGAAATCTTGATTGACGACCAATAAGATGCTGGCACTTTCTTTCATTAGATTGATCTCACTTGAGATCTTCATTGATCCAGCCAGGGCATCCCTGTCACGCGTACACCCCTTCAGGTTCCGGATCGCCTCCAGCTCGTTCAGCAGGTCGTAGGACACCCAGTCTCTCTCGCTCTTTGGATAGACCACGATGAAATCATACTTGAAATCAGGGACGCGGGCCTCCTTTGGTGCTTCCTTGATTGGTTGCCCCTTGACTTCCTCTGCAGGTTCTTGGATGGTTGGCCATCCTTCCTCCGCTGCCCCACCCGTTGCGCTGGCTCCGGATCCTACATTATGCATACCCGCCTCTTCTTGTGGGTCATCTGCCTCTTCATGATGCGACAGACGTAGCATAGGGCGTCCAGCATTCGGAGACCTCATGCCATGACCGAACGGTGCTTGTGGTGTCTCATGAATGTGCAGTGGAGAACGTGCTGTTGCAAATGATGTTTTCTCCAACAAAGACACGAGTTCATTAAGTTCACTGTACTTTCTACAGTAACCCAAGAGCAACTGCAGCTCTTTCTTGTGCTCAAATGTGAACTCACTAATGCAGAACTTACTTATTTTAGGTTGGCCATATTTCTTCAGTGCCTTCTTCAATGAAAAGGCTGTCTCTGCCAGGATAGACTCGTCCTTTGGGGGATTTTCCTCTTGGAGTATGCTCAAGTATACTCTGAGCAATTCGTTAAAGTTACGAGTGTTTGTAAGGTACGGAGCTTCACATGCAATCGCTTGCTTAAAGCAACCGATCGCCGCCCTTTTTTCCTCGATGTCAAAAAGACAGAGGCCCCGCATAAAATGCACGTCAGTTCTGTTGTTACCATCTGGACAATCTACTGACTTCGAGAAACATACAAGGGCTTTCTGAAAGAGAGACTTTTTATCTATTTCCTCTTTGGTGTGATTTTTTGCAAGGCGATAATAAACCTGTCCAAGATTGATCAGGTCCCAGGGTGTGACATTCATGGATAGTGCCTTCTCAAGATCACCTTTGGCGCTGTCCAGAATCTCTCTCATTTCAGGACGGTCTTGCGTTTGCTGAGAGTTATAATGTTTCATATTGATCGTGGCTCGCGTGGACAGGGCTTTCCAGTTAGTGGCATCGATGTTTAAAGACGCGTCCAGTAATTTAAGAGATTTTCCTCTGTCCTTGTTGAGGGAGTAATGGACGGTTGCGTAGCGCACCAAGAGCCTCGGGTTGTCGGGTGAGATCTCCATGGCTTTTGTCATACACTGTTCCGGATCCCTTGTGTATTTTCTCATCTCATGTGGCACATTTTGTTGCATATGTCTATGTTTCATAGTCCTGAAAATATCCCCCAAATGACACCAGCTATCCCACTGAATCTCCTTGTCAACAGAACGCCCTCCTCCAACAAGATCAGAGAACAATTTCACTGCATTTTCAAGGTGAACCCTGGGACGATGTTGATCAGGTTGATTAGGTTGATTGTAGTAAGGTAAATGAGTAAAAAGTTTGTGTTCATTAATCGCCAGACAAAATTTCCACTCATGTTGCTCTATATCGGTGACATCTTCTCCACCCAATCGAAGAGCCTTCTGATACAGCTCTACTGACTGCATGTGCCTTTTCCCAGAGACGTTTTCGCTGTGAATGTCGAAGGTGTGTGCATAGGCCTGTTCGGCTAAGCACCTGGCTTGAATACGTCTTTGATTCGTCGGTGCTTCAGCAATTGAAACAGCTTCTTGGGTTGCGCTTTCAGCCGGGTGAAGAAGACGGTACCACATCTCCCTGTAGTTCCCTGCCTCGGCCAATTTGAAAAGCTTCTCCAAGACATATTGCAGGTTGGCCAGGGCGTTCAGGTTCTCCGGGTCTTTTGCCAGGACTGCGTGGAATAAATCCAGCGCCTCCTCATAGCGGTTGAGCCGGAGGTTCAACAGACCCTTTGCGTTGAGGATGGCAAGCTCCTCGGGACGCCCAATCCTCACTCTCAGAAAGTGATCGAGATCTCGTAACTTCGTCTCCACGACGGTTGTGTCGATGTTGATCTCCTTGTTGATTAGAAGAGGTAGCATGAAATGCCCTGGGGACACTTGGATGCTGATATCAGAAGCCATACTGAACTCTGACTTCAGTACACTGCCTTATGATAAAAGATACAATAACAAGTTTTGAGCAAGATTAGATAAGTGTTAATGTGGATAGTCCGGCTGGCCAATTAGAACCTTCCTTGTCAATATCTTCAGCCAAGGTTCAAATTTCATACGAACATTTGGACAGACTTTTCAGTCCTTGCTTTATTAAATGGTCCCGTTTTTCTTCAAAGCTCGAACATTTTCCATTGACTTCTCTTAATGAGGTTATTTATAATTCTTAACAACAGTGCCAGTTTATTGTCTTTTATTTTGCCTTAAACTCCACCCGTGACGTCACCCTATTGTCCTAGCGCTCCATTATTTTGCACGAATGGAGCGTTGGAGGCGATACCTCTCCATTCTTTGGAAAGGTAATAAAGCCTCCATCACTCCATTCCTACAAAATAATGGAGCGGGAAATAAAGAAACACCAAAAATGACACAGTTATAGTTTTGCACAGTTGCAACTTTACTACAACGTTTCTCAATGATGATTTTTATGCATTTTCTTGTACATTTCGTACAATGCTTACGTAAGTCAAGAACCATTTTTTTTCTCATACATAATTTTTTCATAGGCCCTACACCGTTTGTCAAATGGAATTTTAGGCATCATTCGTACTTTACGTGAAAGTCAATAACCATATTTTTTATACAGTATGCTACACCGTTTCTCAAATAGAATTTTATACATTTTCGTATACAATTTCTTACAGTGTTGAGGCGAAAGTCAAGAACCATTTTTTTCTTCTACAGAATGTTTGCACAAAGTAATGTTACATGTAACAATATAAACGTTTCAATGATAATGTTTCACAATTAAAGCAAATGTTTTGACAAGATTCGCAGTGCAATTTATATCTCAATCTTGTTCCTGGGTTTCAATGCCTAGCATGCAGTCCTAAAAATTCTTGATCGGCAAGAACTCAACATCCTGAAGAAATGAGTAGGTCTTTTCCATGGTGTCCAAGAAAAGTTGAAGGAAAATCGCAAGTTCGTGCAATGTAAATCCGGCCTGGAACACTTGTAGCCGTTTTGCACACACAAAAAAAAAAATCTTAATCTTGCAATTTTGAGTGGTTTCAGCTTGTCCTTCCTTGTCCAATGATGAGTAGTTTTACTAGTCTCGAGTTGCGTTGGTAATGCCGTCGACGAAGTAGTCCGACTGGAGACTGCCCGCTAGTTTTGACCCTCTTCGTGACACTATCCACAGACTGTATAGCCAGAACTAGAAGAAAACAAAATCAGAAAATTAGTTTTTGGGGTCAAATAATAAGACGGAAGCACAAGTTCATATTCCTGTAAATCCACTTAAGTCTTACAAAGACGTAAAAAGCACAGGGTAGCTTTTACAATTACAAAGTGACGACATAGAAAGCTTCGAATTAGAACAGTTTTAGTGCAAACACGATGTCTGAATAAACTTCATCAGATAACAAATTAAAGAATAAAGCTTAATGTATCTGACATTTATATCATGCTCAAAATACATTTAAATTTTCTGATTTTATTAGCTGTTATTTCTACTTAACAAAAAGGGTACTTCTTACCTTTATACTCATACATGCAAACTTCATATTCATTTGGAGTGTCGAAATGGTCTTTTTTTATCTTCCAGACAAAATTTGAAGCGGCCGGCAAATTATTATCCGATATATCCATGGAGCTAGTATCAGCACCGTATCAAAGACAGTTCCCTGGCACGCTATAATAATTCCACTGTATCTCACGTATTATTATCATAACAGTCCATAACGTCTTGAGATTGAACACTGCATATCATCAGCACGCTAGTCAAGAACGAATGCATGGTGCCTGGGTGGGGTTTAGCATTTATACCAAGCGCGCCTAGAATCCAGCATTGTATTGGTTACGTAAGAACATTATGCTAACATACTATTCGCAGTACAATTCTGTACAATTCCATTTATACTAATGCATTTTACAGTTTCGCAATAAGACAAAGCGTGTGTCTTTGTATGAAACAAAGTCGCTCCATTCGTGCAAAATAATGGAGCGCTAGAAACAATAGGGGGACGTCACGGTAACGCGCCATTCGTGGGTAAGAATGGCCCTCGGGCTTCGCCCTCGGGCCATTCTTACCCACGAATGTCGCGTACCTCAGGCATTATCCTTTACGTAACCCCGGCCTGATTATAACATCAAAAATTAATTATTGTACACCTCATCAGTTTATTCGAAGGCTACTATGAGCTCCGTGCGCTAACAAAAGAGGGCGCCCTTTCACTTAGCAACGACGTCCCATGGGTGGGACATTTCGATGGTTGACGCGTACCGTTCGAACGCGTTCCTTGTGTGTGACGCACGCACACCAGGGGATTTGTACCACTGATCTCTATATAAAGACTGGATAGCGGATATGCATACAACATTCACACAGTAGACTTTGCATATTGACCAATTCGCCCCCGGTCTCACGAAGATGGCCGCGTATAATACGAACGTTCTACGCGTAAATACGCGCGCGTTGTATCAACAGTTGACGCGCATTTTGGTCACGTACACATATTATGATGTTCTAAAAGGGACACATTTCCGTAGTGATTATTATTTCAAAACGCCGAAAAAGTTATATTTGCGGCATTTTAGTAACCACGACGTTAGAAAAATTGTAGTTAACCTTGGTCAGTGGTGGTGGTCAAAATATAAGTCAAGTGAACCGCGACGTTACAAAAGAAATCATGCTGTCTATAAAAACGGCAACTTGTCCTTTGTAGATCACCAGCCGGTCTCACCAATATGGCGTCAAATTCGTACATTGTGCGGCTCTGTATTAGCTATCCAGTCTTTATATAGAGATCAGTGATTTGTACTATTTACACGCGCGCAGTGGCCGCGTTTCGCGTCAAACGAATTACAGTAAGGCAACATGGCGTCGGCGCACGACTTATTTATCCTGAATGTGCACGAAGCTAATTAGACTTGGCCAAGTCTGGGTTGCGCTCGGTCTGTGCCTATGAGCTCCGTGCGCTACCGAAAGAGGGCGCGTACTGTACTGTACTGGTTCGTGCGCAAGACGCCATGACGCCATGTTGCCAATAATTTTGGAGAAATTCGAAATACGCACACGTATGTTTCAGCCCCATAGACCGTGCGTGCATTTAGTTCGTCTTCTCACGCATGCGCAATGGTTTCCTCCGCGTCGTCGGCTTGCAAAGAGCGGTAGCAGACGACGCACTGAACGATTGTCTGGTTTTCATGTCTTAAAATGTTTCCTTCTCAAACGTACTTAAAAGATGATTCAAACCAAAAATTATCAGTAGACCAGGTGAACAAAGATATAAATTGTCTCTACAGTGTGGTAACGGCGCTAAAAACCTTTTCAAATATTAAAAAACCCAAAAATTATGGACAAAAAACGTACAAAATGAAAAGGAAAAAAATCTTTCGCTTTTGAGTTTGGTTTACACATTTTGACAATTTTCCGAGTTTACCTTAGAACAGCCGTAGTACCATCGGAAAGGATGATAGATTATTATCATTTTACAGGTGATTTGATGTAAGAAGGAAACCTGTAGCTTATAAAAATCGTCATTTTTCGAGTAAACCCATTTTAAAAGCTTCATGCACAAGTACACTGGTCCCAGTGCCCTCTGTGATCGTACTTGCATTTCAGGGGCGGGAACCAGTCAGTTGTAAATCGTTTGAGTTAAATGTATACATTTATTTGCCAACGCGTTGAAAGATTACAAACGGAGCGCCGCGCGCGGCGCGTGGCTAGCCATGTTTACGGGCCAGATTCCCGCAGGGTCTGTGTACAGGTACGTGCACACTAACGTTACATTCAACGAAAAAACGTATAACGTGAGACCTTACTTTTCTCATTGAAACGGTTTCCGACTTAAATGATATGTAAACATCGCACTTTCCATGGCATCTTTTACCATTTTTCAGTGAAGACAAGTTTACAATTTCTCGGCAAAACTGAAAAATTATCCCCTAAACTGTCGCCTGTTTTGAATTTGTGACCCAATATTTTCGTACTACACGACACGGAAAAACAAAAAAAAATGCATCAAATACTCTCTGTTTTTTTTGCGCTAAGGTTTGCAAAAGTGACTTTGATTGCCTTAAATGTCCACGTGGAAAGAAAAATTTATCAAAGTTCTTCGAGCGTGATGTTGACGATACTTCAGTGGGTCAAACTGCGACCGCAGGCATCCATGTTTGCTGATTATCAGTATTTCATATTTTGAGTGCGCATGCGCGCAAACTAAATGAGCGGCTGAAACATACGTGCGCAGTGCGTGGATCGGGAACCTACGGTGGCTGATTTCCGCCAAGAATACATTTTTTTATTTATTACGGCGTTATAACGCCATAAATTATCGCGTTATAACGCCGTATTATCGCGTTATAACGCGCTATTATCGCATTATAACGCGCTATTATCGCGATATAACGCGCTATATAGCGTTATAACGCCCTAATTTACCGCGTTATAACGCCCTAATTTATCGCGTTATAACGCGCTATTATCGCGTTATAACGCCCTAATTTATCGCGTTATAACGCGCTATTATCGCGTTATAACGCCGTAATTTATCGCGTTATAACGCGCTATTGCGGCGCCATAATTTTACAGTACACGCATCCATTTTACTTCAGTGCATGTAGGCGTGCATTGTTTGCCCGCTTTCGGATCCATTTGCACATTATACACCATCCGTGTAGATATATCCAAAAAAACATTTGAGTTTCTCAACCATGACAACCACGAGATCAAAACTCCTTGCCTCTACCTCTTACCGAAAGTTCACAAATTAAAAGAATCACCCAAAGAAACGCGGTTTGTGGGGAGGCCTATTATTAGTGGTTGCAGAGGTCCGACTCAATCAAGGCAATTTCAAAATACATAGACTATTTTCTGCTTCCGATTTTCAAACAACAAAGCACATATACACGCGATTCCGGGCATGTGCTTGAAAAACTAAACAACGTGACATTGAAGCAGGATAGCCTATTGATCACATTGG